TTCCAGCCGAGGCTCCTCGCGGGGCTGCCGACCCCCAGACGGGGCTCCTGGCGATGGACCGGGTCCCCCGGGGGCGGTGGTCCAGCTCCCGGCTCCTGGATGGCCGCTGGAGGCAACGCTGAGTCTTTCTTCGGGAAGATCTGGGGGTGAGGGACGCCCCACATCTGGCGCATCTGGAAGGGATAGGCTGCTCTGCCCAGCTGTGAGTCTCCCTTGAGCCCCTCCTGAAAGCCCCTTCTGTGCACACGGGGGTCCCTGAGGTGGCCCCCTCTGCAGGAGCTGCCCCCACATCCGGCTCAGCGTCAATTGGACCTGGGAGTGCGCGAGGGGCCCTCAGGTCCCAACGTCTAATGGTTTGACTCCCCGGGCCTCAGTTTCCTCATCTGTAAGATGGGATCGAGGGAGCGTTAAGGAGTCTGTGAGGTGACACCCGCCAGGCGTGGAGCCCAGAACCAGAGCTCAGCAAATCTGCACACCGTGAAGGAATGAATGAGTGAATGAATGAATGTTTGAATGAATGATTGAACGAATGAATGATTGAACGAACGCTTGAATGAACGAAAGGTTGAATGAATGAAGGAAAGGTTGAATGAATGAATGATTGAACGAATGGTTGAATGATTGATTGAATGAATGGATGAATGAACAAACGAATGAATGAATGGATGGATGGATGGCTGAATGAATGAATGGATGAAGGGTCTTGGGCGTGAGGCCGGGACTCCGGGCCGGTGGTCTTTCCCAGCCTGCTGTGGCCGTGAGCTGGGGGTGGCGTGGCCGCGGGGCGCTGGGCCAGCACGAGGCAGCTCTTGGCCCCGGGACAGGGCTGGCCCCGCTCTCCGAGGAGCCCGGCATCCACAGCGGCTTCGTCTGGGGTGTCCTTTGCCGACCTTGTGCTGGGCCTTCGGGGGACGCCGAGCCCCTCAGCCCCAGCCCCCAGGAGGTCGCCCCAAAGAAGGGCGGCGTGTGTGACGGGGACGCACCCTCATCGAGGCTGGGCTGCAGCAAAGCAAGTGGAGGGGATGGAGGGCCTGGAAGGTGCCTTTGAGGGGGCCTTGTGGGGTGAGCATGGGGAGCCGAGGGGCGCCTTCCAGCCGGACCGTTTCGACAGCAGCATCCTGGGGGCCTGGGAGGAGGAGCGGGGAGGAGCTGGGCTGAGCAGCGCGGGAGCCTCGAACGCCGGGACGAGGAGCTGGCACGTTCCTCCCAGGGCAATAGGGAGCCACAGCAGCGTGCAGAGCAGGAGAGGGGCTTGGTCGGCGTGTTTCACACAGGCTGCGCTGGGCCCCGGTGGGAGGGGAGGAGGCTGGGATGGTGACCTGGGCAGCCCAGAGGGGGTCCCATCTGCTGCCTTCCCCTCCACGCCCCCCGGAAACAACCCAATCAAAGCCTCCCCTGGGCTCCTGCACCTTCCAAAGGCACAACCTTGCAAATCCAGGAGCATCTCTGGGGCCCCGGCCTGGCCTCGGGGGGCTCCTCCTACAGTCCCTCCCCAGCAGCCTCAGTTTCCCCATCTGTAATACACACAGTCAGACACAAGGAAGCCTGTTTTGCCAGTGGTGTATGGCTTGGTTGAGGTCACCCAGCAAAAGCTGGGGGGCAGAGCAAGGACCGGACCTCAGTGACTTACTGCATGCCCACTCCAAAGACACAGACACTCCCAGAGCCCCAGCCCCCAGGACCCTGGGCTTGAGGAGTGGCTGGGTCTGCAGAGGACCCTGAGGAAACCCACAGGAGGTCAGGCCTCTGCTTCTGGCTTTCTCCTCTCCCTTTCTGGTTTGCCCATCCGTAAAATGGGCATGTCTCCATCTCATAAAGTTGTTTGGAGATTAAATGAATCCGTGGATGTAGGTATTGCTCCAGCACGAGAAAGTGTCTCCCGCCCACAAACTCCTACTCATACTTCAAAACCCACTGCAGATTTTCCATCTCCAGTGCAGCCCTAAGATAGCCTTTGGCTCTTCACTGTTCTCTGCTCTATGCTCTCCCAGCTGTTGATCCCTCCTTCCGCCTCAACCCTGACCCCATGGGAACGGGAGTGTCTGTCTGCCTCTGTCCCCCCCCCCCCCCCAGCCACCAGACTAGAGGGATCTTCCCCAGGGTTGCAAAATTACTCAGCATGGGGCACACCCAGAATGTCGTAGAATAAATGAGAAGAGGAAGGGAGGGGGCAGGGAAGGGTTGCAGCGATGGGGAGCCAGAGAAGGTGGAGGAGGAAGGGGGGCACTCTGCAGAGACCTCGGTGGGACAGATGGAGAGAGGGAGCCGGAAGGAGGTGGGCAGAGCCAGATGGGCGGGCAGGGGCGACAGGAGGGGTGGGGTGCGGGGAGACCCAGCTCCCCCGGGCGCGCCTCCTCAGGGCCGGCGGGCAGTGCGGGAGGCCCGGCCTCCGGCGGGCGGATCGCCGGGGCGCGGGGCGCGGGCGCGGGGCCCGAGCGTGCGGCGTGTGCGCGCCTGTGCGCCCAGGGCCGGCCGGGCGGCGGCGGCACGTGGAGGCCAGCCTGGCGCGCGTCTCCAGGCCGGTGGGTAAGGCGGGCCGCGGGGCCGCGGGGTGCGGGAGGCCGGGCCTCGGAGCCTGGCTTTCGAGGGGGGCGCTGGAGAGGAGGGGGCTGCCCACCTGGCATCTCGGGGGCCCGACCGGGACCCCCTCCGCGCGCCGAGCCGACCCAGGAGGGGAAGGGGCCTCCCAGCGGGAGGCGGAAGGTCCCGGGCTCCGCCGGGGGGCGGGGGAGATGCGGAGCCGGTACCCGGGCCTGGAGGATGGGGTGGGGGCGGAGGGCGCGGTGATGGGGGCAGGTTCCCTCCCCGCGGCCCCCCCTCCCTCGCTCCCTCCCTCGGCTCATCCATCTCGAGATTATATTTAAATATCTCTTTTGTGCGAGGCAGGAGCTGGGCTCGCCCCTAAGAGGCAGTTTCCATGGCAACAACAATTGCCAGCTTCCGTGTGGTGAATCAGCGTTGCCATGGCAACCCCATCCTCATCTGCCCAAGGTGCTGGGGAGTCCGGGGTGGTGGGGGGGGGAGGCGGGGAGGAGGTGAGGGCCAGCGGAGGCGGCGTGGGAGGGGTGAGGGGAGCAGGAGGCTGGAGCGCAGGTGCCCCCTCCCCCCCACCGCCCTTCGCCACCTCAGTCTGCCCCCAGCCCAGCGAGTGGTTGACATAATCTCCCGTCCTGTCTCCAGCTAGCGAGGTGTGGTACCCAGGTGGAGCGGGCCCGGGACGTGTGTGTGGGGGGGGGGGGGAGGGAGATGGGGGTCGGCCTTTCCCGGGTGGTCTGGGGCCCTCTGAGGATGCGGCTGGATGGCGGGAAGGTTGGGCTGGGAGGACTGGGGACCCCTGGGTGGGGGAGACAGAGGCCTCTCCGGTTCCGGGGCTCCCAAGTCTCAGTTCACATCGAGGCGGCCCATGTGTGCCCGGGACACACACTCAGAGAGGGGGACCGAATCAGAAAGGGGAGGGGGATGGGACACAGGGAGAGGACTCAGAAAGCGGAAGCTAGAGGGAGGAGGGGGATCTTCCTGGGGAGGGAGCCCAGGGGAAGGGGGTGCCGAGCCGGGACAGGTTCTGAGAGATGGGGAAGGAGATTTGGGGGGGGTCGAAAGTTGGGGAGGGGTCTCTACTCACAGGAGCGGGTGGAAAGATCCCTAAATCTGAAGTCCAGGAAGACTTCGAGCCTCGATTCACCCACCAAGACCTTGGTGGATATAATGAGTAACTGATTTTGACGTCTGTGAAACAGAGGCAGAACCAGGCCTTCCTTCTGGGCAGTTGGGTCCAGCAAGCTCCTCTGATCCTTTCACGTACTCTGCCTCCGTGGCGTGATGCTGCGGTCCCCAGTCTGGAGGGAGACAGAGCAAGACAGAGACACTTCCTGCCCTGAGGCAGAGGGAGGAAGGAAGCCAGAGGGGTGGAAGGCTTGCCTGCGTGGGGTCTTTTGAGCTGGGTTTTGAAGGATGAGTAGGAGTTCGCCAGAGACACCACGTTGGGAGGATGATTCTCCTAGGAGGGGTGGAGAAGCAAATGCCGGCCCCATCTCCCATGGCTCAAGTCTGTTCTCAAATATGCACATTAGCTCATAGTCACAATGGGGTAAGTTTGGGGGTGGCGTTTAGGGGAGCATTTCCTCTATTGAACGTCATTTTCAGTGCCAGCCAGAGGGGACGGAAGTGTCCAGAACAGTGAGTCCAGACGGCAGGCTTGTCCACTGGGGTGTGACAGTCGTCCCACCAAGGCTCAGGGAGCTGACTAAGGTGGCTGCCTCCCTGTATCAGTCAGCTACTGCTGAGTAACAGACCCCAGGCCATTTGATCTGCCCATGATTCTGTGGCTTGGTGAGCCCAGGCTGGGCGCAGCTGGCCGGTCCTTCGGCTGGTCTCCCCCGGGTCCTCACACAGCCACAGTCAGCTAGGGCTTGACCAGGGCCGGCAGGGATGGGCCGGCCTCACTCCCATGTCCTGCCTGTCCGCGGGGCCTCTCTGGGCACAAGGTCTCCCGTCCCCCAGCAGCTCGCCTGGGCTTGTCCCCCTGGCCGCATCACGGGTCCTCGGTCGAACCTGCGAATTCTCTTGAGGCCGAGTCTCGGAGCCCCCACGACTTCACTTCCACCACTTTCTATTGGTCAGAGGGAGTCACGCGTCCAAGTCCAGGGGCAAAAGGGGAAACAACCCCCAGTTCTTGATGAGATGACTGCCCAGTGGCATCACGGACAGGGACCCGAGGAGTTGAGCCATCTTCACAAACCCTCTATGACCCTCGGGGAGGCAAGGAGGCTTCCTGGAGGAAGGGATATTGTCATGGGGTTTTGAAGGCAGAGTAAGAGTTTTCCAGACAGCACGAGCGAAGCCCTGTAGATGGGACCACGTGTCGTTTGGTTTGACTGGGGCGTAGCTGCTGCCAGTGGTGGGAGGGATGCTGAGGCTGGGAAGGTGGGTGCAGAGCTCGGGGGGAGCCCCCACCCACGCTACCTCCACCGCCGACCTTGACCTCCCCCCTCTCTCCACAGATGGCGCGGCCGATCCAGGTGAAGCCTGCGGACAGCGAAAGCCGCGGAGGTAGTTGTCATCTCTCCGTGGCCACTGGCCCGAAGGATGGGGTCCGGGAAAGGCCGGGGATGGCTTTCTGGGCTGTGTGTGTGTTTGCACGTCTGGGCAAGTGCGTGCGTGTGCACATGAGCATGCGTACCCGGGCACGCCCGTGTGCAGATGCATGCGAGTATGCAGGCCTGGGCGTGCATGTGTCTGCGCTGCTGCGGGGGGGGGGGGGTGCCTGCCCGCCCGTGTGCACGTCTCAGAGCCCGGCGTGGGCGTGTATGTTCGAGCGTGTGTGCTTGGCTGTTCCAGGCTGGGTGTGTGGGCATGCAGGCTGGGGGTCTGGTGTTTGCATGGCGCGGGACTGCACGGCGGGGGTGCACCCATGGGGCGATGCTCGGCTGTCCGGGGGGGATCCAAGGCTGAGCATCCTTGGAGATTTTCCTTCCACCTCCCCATCTCAGGTGGACTCGGGGCTGAGGGAGAGCGGCCAGCCTTGGGGGCGGTATCTGGGCCAGGGTGTTAGGACCCCTGTGTATGTGTAGGAGCCTGGTAAGGCCCTTCTGGGCTGGGAGCCTTTTTCATTCTCTCCCACCAGGCTGCCAGTGTGGGTCAGGGATTAGAGGGGTGGGGCCTGCCTGTCTCCCTCTCTTTCTCTCCCCTCTCTCTCTTTCCCCCTCTCCCTCCAGATCTCTGGTTCTCTCTCCTTATCTTTTTCTCTCCTTCTGTCTCTCTGGTGCTCTCTCTGCTCCTCTCTGTGTGACTCTCTCTGACTATCTCAGTCTCTCCCTGTCTCTCACCCATCTCTCTCTCCCTGACTCTCCGCTTCCCTCCCACCCCCCATGAGTGACAGCTGCCAGAGAACGGGTTTCCATAGCAACCCAGCTCTCCATCCCTGAGAGACGCTGCCACGGTCCTGATTACAGGGGAGCAGCACAGTAACCCGAGGGGGCGGGGCTCCAGTGTCCCCCACGGGAGAGACGGGCGCAGACTAGCCCCCAGCCTCGGACCTGGGCAGGGCCCAGCGGGGCCTCCAGCCGGGCGCCCCCCAACCCCACCAGATGGGGTCCTGTGCACACACACGCCCCGACTCGTCCGGCAGACGGTGACTGCCTGGCCCCTGTGCGCCCTGCTGCCTCCGCTCTGGGTTGGAGGGACCCAGGACTCGGCTGAGGGGTGTCTCCGCCCACAGGGGACCGGAAGCTGTTTGTGGGGATGCTGAACAAGCAGCAGTCGGAGGAGGACGTGCTGCGGCTGTTCCAGCCCTTTGGGGTCATCGACGAGTGCACCGTGCTCCGGGGCCCTGACGGCAGCAGCAAAGGTGATAGCTCGGGGGCGGGGCTTGGTCCCGGGGGGCGGAGCTGGCCCCAGGGGCGGGGCCTGGCACACAGTGGGCGGGCTGGGTAATGAGGGGGTGGGGCTAGCTCCTGGGGGCGGGGCTTGCTGGGGCAGGGAGAGGCACGTGGGAGGGCGGGATGGGCAGTGTGGGTGGGGTTTGGTCCTGGGGGCGTGGCCTGGCAGGCAGGGATAGGCATTCGGGAGGGTGGAGCCGGCAGGGCGAGGCTGCCCCTGGGGGCGGGGCCTGGAACATGAGAGCATGTGATTGGCTCCTAGGGCCGGGCCCAGGCCCACGAGGGGGGTGGGGCTGGATCTGGGGGCGTGGCCAGGCACGTGGGGTGGGACCGGCAGGATGGGCGTGGCTTGGTCATGTGGGCATGGCCTGGCCTGCCGGAGCAGGCATTGGGGAGGGCGGAGCTGGCATGGGGCTGGCTCCTGGGGGCGGAGCCTGGAGTATGAGAGGGTGGGATTGGTTCCTAAGGGCGGGGTCAGGCCCACGAGGGGTGGGGCTGGATCTGGAGGCGGGGTCAGGCACGTGGGAGGGCAGGACGGGCTGGGAGGTGCAGGGGAGGGGTGGAGATGGTCGGGTCCCACCTGGTCCTTCCTGTGTGCCCCTGTCCGTGTGGGGCTGCCTGCGTCCACCTGCTGGCCTCTGGATTTGCCCGTGACCTGTGGCCTGTCTTTCCGCCTCACCCTCCCTAGTCCACCATTCCCGTATGGCTGTACTTTCTCGGAATGACGCTTTAATGCTCTCCAATGGCTTGTTTTCCTGTCTGCCCACTGATGTGCGTGACTAGGGTTGAGTGTCACCTTGACTGTGTCTCTTAGTCCCTGACTCCTTCTGCCTGAGTGTCCAAATGGCTATTTCTGTCTGGGTCTGCACGTGCCTGGTGGTCTCTGGCTGTCTGTCCAGCCAATTCTGCCTGTGTGACCGGCCGGCTGGATCTGCCCTGCCTGGGCTCTCCCCGTCTCTCCGGTTCTGGTCACGCATCCGTCTGGGTCTGCGTGTTACTCTGCCCGCATGAGCCCACAGCACTGTATCTCTCCGTGTCTGTGTTTGATGGTTTGCCACCTTAATTCTGCAGATCTGATTACAACCCTGGGTCTCCTGGTGTTGGCGGCTGTTCTGGAAACCTGTCCCCTTCACTTGGTCTAACCTGCCTCCCCCGTTGTGCACTGCCTCCCACTGTCCATCAGATTGTTGTCTGACAAACAGCTGGCTGGCTGGCTGGCCGGCTTTCCGACTGACTGGCTGACTGTCCAGCTCTATGGCCGACTGACTGTGTGCTTGTCCTGCTGTCTGATCCTTTACTGTCCAGCTGTCTGTCTGTACAAATGACTGGCTGCCTCTGTGTCCGACTGTCTGATTTCTGGCTGCCCGTCCAGGGCTCCCAGCCCCCCTCCTGTGGCCCCTGACCGCCGGGAAAGACCCGGTTGCCCCTCACCCGTTCTCCTTCTCTCGGAGCAGGCTGTGCCTTCGTGAAGTTCTCCTCGCACACGGAGGCTCAGGCGGCCATCCACGCGCTGCACGGCAGCCAGACCATGCCGGTGAGTAGGAGCCGCGCTGCCCACGATGGCCAGGCCCGTCCCTGCGCCCAGGCACCTGGTAGAGAGGACACAGGTGGAGAAAGGGGGCAGTCCCTGACAGGGGTGTGAGTGGGTGTACACACGTGTGTGATCGTGCACGTGTGTATGTGTGCTTGCAAGTAAGTGTGGGGTGTGCATGGATGTATCGCGAGTGTGTGGCTGCATGTGTGTGTTTCTGTGCACATGTGTGGGTGTGTCTAAGGGTGTGGGTGTGCATGCATGCCTGTGTGTGTGAGTGCATTGTGTGCCTGTGTGATTGTTAGTAGGTGAGCTTAGTGCACACACGAGGTGTGTGTGTAAATGTGTGTGGATAAATGTGCACGTGTGTACTAGTGCGTATGCATTTGTATATTGTGAGTGCCTTGTGGGAGTGCATGTGGGCAAGTGTGTATGTAGGCAACTGCATGGGTGTGTTTATACATGGGTGTGCGTGTGTGTGAGTGCACGTGGGTGAATGTGATTGTTAGTAGGTGAGCGTTGGTGTGCACATGAGGTGTGTGTAAATATGAATGGATGTGTTCATGCATGAGCTAGTGTGTGAGTGCTTGTGCAACTATATATGTAGGTGAGGGCACCTGTGTGCTGATGCATGTGAGTGTTCATGAGTGCATGTGTGTGAGTGTGAGCATGCCTGGGTGATGTGGGGGGAACAAGTGCACGTATGTGCATCTATAGGTGTGTGTGAGAGCAAGTGTGTGTGTGTGATGTGGACAAGTGAGCACGTGTGTGAATATGACTGAATGCGATTATGTGTATACATGTGCGATTGTGCACATGTGAGTGTGTATGCGTGTGAATGCGTGTATGCACTGCTGTGTGTATGTGTGGTGAGTGTGGATGTGTGCACGTCTTTGGGAGTGTATGAATGTATGTGAGTATAGAGGGTGAGTGTGTGGGTGGTATGCCTGTGTATGTGTGCGCAAATGTCTGTGAGCATGCATGGTGAATATGCATGTGTATGTGAGCATGAACATGCATGGTGCATGTAGCTATGTGTGTACGTGTGTGACTGTGTGTGTATGTGAGTGCTCATGGTGAGCATATATGTGTGTATGTGAGCATGCACGGTGAGCACACGTATGTGTGTGAGTGTGTGCGTATGTGAGCACGCACAGCAAGTGTGTGTACATGTGTGTGAGCGTGCACATATGTGAGCACACATGGCGAGCATGCGTATATGTGTGTGTATGTGAGCATGCATGATGAACGTGTGTATATGTGTGTGTGTGTTAGCATGCATGATGAGCGTGCACGTATGTGTGTGAGTGTGTGTGAGCATGCACAGCGAGCACGCATACATGTGTGTGAGCGTGCACATATGTGAGCACGCATGGCGAGTGTGCATATATGTGTGTGAGCATATGCAGAGCGTGAGCATGAATAGTGAGGGTGCGCACGTGTGTGAGTGCACAAGAGGGTGTCCCAGTGGGGAGACCTGAGGGTGGGTTGGGTGGCCAGGCCAGCAGAGGGACATGAGACTGAGGGGGGACAGGCAGCCCCAGGGGAGCAGGCAGAGGAGGGCTGGGGGCATGCGGCCACCGAGGACCCGGGCTTGCTCCTGTGGCAGTGGGGAGCCACCGAGGGTTTCAGCGGGGGGGGGGGGGGAGGGGCCAGCTCGGTTGGAAATGTCCCCTCGGGGCCAGAGGAGGGCATGTGCAGGGGGCAAGACTAGAACCTGGAGCCTGCGGTCTGCAGCGGTTCAAGGCTGGGGTGGACCACCCACGTGTGGATGTGGCCCTGTCCCCCAGCAGGAGGCCCAGGGGCCACCATCACTGTACATAAATATCCAAAGCTGCCCCGGGGGAGCCTTGGAGACCCGACTCTCCTCTCCTGGTCGTTCTCGAGAACTGGTGTGAAGGGCAGGCCGTCCCAGAGCCGCCCCTCCCTCGCCCTCTGCGTGCTCGCCCGTGAGCTTTAGGCCCTTCAGGGGCAGGATTCAGCCCAGCACAGGTTGGTCCTCCTCCTGCTCGGCGCTGTCCAGTGATGGGACTGGCGGGCATAGTAGGGAGTGAGCTCTCCGTCAAAGGGGGCATGTCAACCTCTGTGATGCCGGAGTCTCCCCCGTTCTCAGGGGCAAGGTGTCAGTTACGGGGTCTTCCACCTGCGCCCCATTATTCCCCTTTGGCATCTGGATTCTCACCTCTTCTCAGGTGGGGGTGACAGTTATCGGGTCGCCCTTCCGGGTCCCCGTTGTTCCTCTCCAGCGGTTGGATTCTCCACCTGTTTCTGAGAGTGTGGATGAGAGACAGGGTTTCCCACTGCGCCCTCCAAGCCCCCTGGGCCTGGACACCCCGCCTGTGCACACAGGGGGCTGCACAGTCAGGCGCGAGGCCCGGAATGCTCATCTCCAGGCCGTCCTCGATGTGGCGCCTGCTGCTGGGGGCTCGCGGGCAGGGCTGCCAGCTGCTGCCATCCACGCCCCTCACCCCTCACCCCTACACCCCTCACCCAAGGGGCCCGAGGGTCCTGGCCACCTCCTTCCTTCTTCCCCTCGCTGCCTGTGCCGCCCCTGCAGGGCGCCTCCTCCAGCCTGGTGGTCAAGTTTGCCGACACGGACAAGGAGCGGACGCTGCGGCGCATGCAGCAGATGGTGGGCCAGCTGGGCATCCTGACGCCATCCCTCACACTGCCCCTCAGCCCGTACAGCGCCTACGCCCAGGCTGTGAGTGAGCCCAGCGGGCGCGCTTCTGTCTCCGGCCAGGCTCCTGGGCCACGCTGGGGGTCCGGCTCCGGCTCCCTCTCTCTCCATCCGTTCTTCTGCCTCATCTCCCATCTTTCCGTCTCTTGGCCAGTCTCTGACTCGGGGTCCTATCCTGGCTGTAGCTGAGCCCCAATCCCAGCTGAGCCCTCAACCGTGAACCGAGTCCCGAGCCCAAGCTGAACCCCAACTCTGGACTGACATGACCCCAGGCTCAGGCTCTAAACCCAGCCTGAGCCCCTAAATCCAGCCTGAGCCCCATCCCTGGGCTGAGCCTCAGTCTCAAATGAAGACCCAACCTTGGCTGAGCCCCAGATCCTGGGTGTGCCCCAAATCTGGATTAGCCCCACCTCTGGCTAAACCTCCAATTCCAGGCTGACTCCAAACTGAGACTGAACCCTGGCTAAGTTCAATGTTGGCTGATCCCTGATCCCAGACTGAGCCCAAATTCTTGACTGAGCCCTAATCCCAGACTGAGCCCTGATCCCAGACTGAGTCCAAATTCCTGACTGAGCCTTGATCCCAGACTGAGCCCAAGTTCCTGACTGAGCCCGAATCCCAGACTGAGCCCTGATCCCAGACTGAGTCCAAATTCCTGACTGAGCCCTGATCCCAGGCTGAGCCCCAAGTCTCAAGTGAGCCATGACCCCAGCCTGACTCCCCCTAGTTACTAGAGGACCAGGCCTCCTCACTGAGCCATGATCTCGGGGCAGGCGTCACCCTGACTGTGCACGCTGACTCCCTCTCCACCCCCAGCTCATGCAGCAGCAGACGACAGTCCTGTCCACCTCGGGCAGCTACCTGAGCCCTGGCGTGGCCTTCTCACCCTGCCACATCCAGCAGATCGGTGCCGTCAGCCTCAACGGGCTGCCTGCCACACCCATCGCCCCTGCCTCCGGTGAGAGTCCACCAGGGTCACGAGGACGGGCGGGTAGGGCCAGGCCAGGACCGGGCGCCCCATGACCCTCTTCCGCTCTGCAGGATTACACTCACCTCCGCTGCTCAGCACGGCCGCCGTGCCCGGCCTCGTGGCTCCCATCACCAACGGCTTCGCGGGGGTTGTGCCCTTTCCTGGCGGGCACCCGGCCCTGGAAACCGTATATGCCAATGGCCTTGTGCCCTACCCAGGTAACTCAGGTGGCAGGGAGGGTGCATGAGTCCCCATGCCTTGGTGCCCAGGGAACAGAGGGGCAGGACAGAGGAATCGCAGCGGAACAGACACAGCTGTGGGCACAGAGAAAGAGGTTAAACAGAGGAACTGGGCATCCAGACATTTCTGGGTTCAAATTCCGGTTCGGTGGCCCTGGGTGGTTTCTTTAAGTCTCTGAGCCTCAGTTTGCTCCTCTGGGAAATGGGGCGAATAACAGTGGTCATCTCGTGAGGTTGCACTGACAATGCAACCAGCATATAAAATGCTTAATGCATCACCTGGTAGCAAGACCAGCACCATCGGTCTTAATTATTAATTGTTACCATTTGGGAAGATAGCAGCACTCGCATTCATTCATTCATTCATTCAGTGTTGACCACATGCTGATTTGCACCGGGCCCTGCCCTCAGGAAGCAGAGGTCTCCCCTTTCTCTGCTCTCTACCACCATTTCGAGGCAAACATCTTCCAGCGCCTCGCTCAGGGGAAGTCAATCTGTGTCTCCACCAGCGAGGAGAATCTGTTTCTATTTTTATTTTCAAATGACTGGACGCTCCCAAGGAGTTGCAAAAATAGCACAGAGGGGTCGTGGTACCCCTCGCCCAGCTCCCTCTGATGGTAACATCTTGCATCGCCAGAGCACATTGTCAAGACCGGGACACTGCGATTGGTACAGGGCGATGCACTCAGCTGGGGCTGGAGGCCTTATTCGGGTTGCCTGCACTCGTGTGTGTGTGTGTGTGTGTATGTGGTTCTATGCCATCTTATCACAGGATCGATTCATGTACGCACCACCACCGTCAAGATACAGAATCCATCCATCTCTACAAAGTAATTCATTCCTGCGACCCCCTTAGAGTCACACTCCCCCCCACCATCTTCTAGCAACCTCTCTCTACTCCAGCAGAATATTCTGGCTGAATTTTCCCCAGACTCACCGTCTCCGGTGACCTGGACAACCTCTCTCCTCCCCTGCCTCCTCCCCTAGAGGCAGTGGGAGGGTCACAGCCACACGGGGGATCCATAGGGGGTGTGATGAAGTGTGGGAGGGAGAGAGGGGAAGGGATGAGGGTGGGTGGCGAGCTGGAGCACAGGCCTGGAGTCCTGGAGAATCCAGAGATAGAGGAGGAGGAGGGGGTCAGGGTGGGCAGAGAGATGGGAGTGATCTGGATTCCAGGTCAGCTTCTGCCATTTCCTGAGTGGCCCTGTGCCCGTCTGCTTCACCTCTCTGAGCCTCAGTCGCCTCGCCTGTAAAATGGGCTCATGCTTGTAAAAGGTTTACACAGAGGTGAAGCGGGGGCGGATGTTTTTTGCTCTCCTTTCGGCTGTAAAGGATCGGGGTGGATGGGGAAGACTTCTGCTGCCCCCGCCCCACTCAGCCCCTCCGTCTACCCCGCAGCTCAGAGCCCCACCGTGGCCGAGACCCTCCATCCCGCATTCTCCGGAGTCCAGCAGTACACAGGTAGGGAGGCAGCTTGGCCCCACCCCGCCCACCAGGCCCCGCCCCCAGGGAGGCTCCACCCCCAGGGAGGCCACGCCCATTGTCCCCGCTTCCCGCATTGTCCAGCCACGCCCCTAACCACGCCCAGATCTGGCCCCGCCCCTCAGAGACTGCCCTCTCATTCGGCCTTCCCTCTTGTTCCTAGCCACGCCCCCTACTTCTGGCCCTCGCCCAATCCCAGCTATCGGGCCCGCCCCTGCCCCGCCCTCCTTCAGCATCTGGTCCTGCCCCGCCTCTGCCAAGGCCACGCCCCCATCTCTGGCTCTTCTTCCTAAGGCCTGCCTTGGCCCCGCCCTCAGCCATGGCTCTGCCCCTCAACTCATGACCCCGCCCCTCAAGTCCTGGCCCCGCCCCACTCTGCCCAGTTGCCTTGGCCCCGCCCTCAGCCATGGCCACGCCCCTCCAGCCCCACCGTTGGTCCTGCCCAAGCCCTGACCCCGCCCCTTTCCGTGGTTCTGTTACCTCGGCCCCGCCCCAGCCCGACCGTCAGCTGTGGCCACGCCCGTCCCCCCAGACCCGGTCCTGGCCCCGCCCCCAGTCGTGGCCCCGCCCCTCGCGTCCTGGCTCCGCCCCCTGTGCCTCGCCGGGGCGGCCCGCGGGTCTCACGGTGGCCTCGGCCGTGTGTCCCCCCGTCTCCGCAGCCATGTACCCCGCCGCGGCCATCACGCCCATCGCGCACAGCGTCCCCCAGCCGCCGCCCCTCCTGCAGCAGCAGCAGCGAGAAGGTGAGGGGGCCGCGACCTCCCCTGGGCGCCCGCCCCGCCCTCTGACCGCCCCCTCCACCTGCAGGACGCCCCCCCCCGCCCCGGCCTGAATCCCCCTCTCTGAGCCTCAGTTTCCCCTCCGGAAAGTGGAACGCCAGTGACCCCGCCACCACCAGCAGCCCTCTCCCGAGCTGCATTTTTGGAGGAGACGAAACTCATTTTGAGGTTGGGGAGGGTGGGGTGATGAGATATCTCGGGTAAACTGAGGCCTCTACGGTAAAGTCGAGGGAGGGAGGAGGTAGATTCTGGAGTCGGACAGCCAGGATTCAAATCCACCCAGTTCTGACTCGTGACGTCACAAGGAAGGCACTTCCGTGCCTCAGTTTCCCCATCTGCCACACCGGCGACCATCTGTGCCAAGACACGTTACTGGGGGGTAAGCAGCGGCCACTGCGGGCCCTCAGCACCTGGGAGTCCCTGCCTCTCCCTAATCCATCTAGTGGGGTGGGGACGGGGCTGGAAGACACACCCCAGGTCACCCCATGGTGAGGGAAGCTGGGCGGAGGGCCTGGCCCGCAGACTGAGTTCTGTGAGGCTCTGCCCAGGGTCTCCCTTGCCCTCAGCCTTAGAAGGAGGGACCCTGCCAGCGCACAGGAGCTGAGCTTTGGAGGGGAGCCCTGGGCCGAGGGTTCCTGGCTCTCCCAACCAGCCGCTACCCCATCCTCGTGGATATTGTGTCTCCAGGGGGCTCCGTGGTTAGAGTCAGAGACGGCAGCAACATGAGGATTTGGCAGCTCCAGAATTCCCCAATGGGCCCGGGCCTTTCACATGCCCCCCCACACCGTCCTCCCCCACAGGAGCCTCCCCCCCCCCCCCACCAAAAGGACAGAGCCAGTGGGAGCTTCAGACAGGGCTCGGCTGCCTCCGGCCACTGTTTCCTGGGTGGCTCGGACCTGAGTGTCTCCCTTCCGGGGCCTGGGCGGAGCGGGTGAAAGCTGGTTCAAACGCAGCCAGTGCTGCTAGAACACGAGATGGGCGTTCTGGAAAATCCCCAGAGTTTGCAAAACCCCACAGTACAGACGACAGGGCTTGGGGGGGGGGGGAAATAGGGTCAGGGGGTACACCATTCAAAAACTTTGCGACACGTCAAGAAAAGAGAAAGAGAGAGAGACGCCTGATAGAAATGGTGGCACAGTGTCGGATGGTGAACTCCCAGAGTCCTCCAGGGACCCTGGCCCTTTATCCTGGAAAAGACCTGAAATCGACACTCGCAAGTGGCCTTGGAAGGGGTCCGGCCTGCAAGTCGCTGTGAAGTGGCGGAAGGAGGGCCTTCTGGAATCGGAGGGAGTTAAGCCCAGATGGGGACGGGGTAGCTCGTAACACACTTGGGGAACTGGGACTGCCGGCGGGCGTCCGAGCTGTGCGTGCACGCGTGTGTGCATTTGGTTTTCCCAGAAGATCCATTTCGGCTGGGCACGGGTTTCCGCATTCACCAGTTTTCTTGGAGATGAGGTAGCCAGAAGCGATCACGAAACCGTGTTGTGCTCAGAATTATTCCGTGTTGGGACACGGTTGCCTTTTTTAAAGCAAGCGTTAAGGCAGAGGCATGGTCCTCCTCGTGAGGGTGAGGGGTGAGCGCGCACGTATCATCTTGGATTTTGTATTTTGGGGCGTTGGGGGCTTATTCATCTTGGGGGGGGGGTCGGGATTCTCCATGGTTTGGGCATTTCTACCCCTGTTTTGGGGGACGTGGGAGAAAATCATCTATAAGTGTGGGACAAGCAGCTGGTTTGGGGACGTCATGACTTTGCATAATCAAGGTTTTTAAATGCTACTGTTATTTATACGTTTCATAGGCAGACATGCATTGGGGGTTATTCGGGGAAGGGACGATTTTGAGGGCCAGCGGTGCCTTTAAAACGTGTTTCATAGCCTAGCTTTTCATCCATGGCTTCAGGCGGCCTGGGGTCTGGCACTGGCGCATCATCTTTTGGTTTCACTGGATTTTCTTCTCGCGTCGTCTGAGTTTTGAAAATCCTCCAAGGTTTGGAGGCTTAGCCGAGGTTTTGAAAACTATCCGGCTTTTTGCGACTGGGGGGCCCGGGAACGACCTGCCTTATTTTATTCCGAAATCGTTGGGCTTTCTCAAAACGTCCCTTTTATTTTAGAACCAGTGTTAGAGAAACAGCACAAAGATATGCAGGGTTTCTGGCCACCCAACGCCCAGTTCGTCTGACGTTTGCAAATGACCCGGGGAGCTTTCAGGATCTGCCGGGGGCCGTCTGGGATTTTTCGGATTGCCCGGGGCCTGAGGTGGAGGGACTGAGCTCAGTTTTTTTTTGGGGTGGGGGGGGAATCCTCTGAATTCCGTAAATGATCTGGAGCCCTAAGATCAGCCGAGGTTCGCAAGTGGCGGAGCGCGGGATCGTCCAGGCAAGGGACCGGCGCCCCCGCCTCCCCCTCCTCCGCCCCCGGCCCGCCCTCCTCCCCCGCCGGCTGGGGACCGCGCCCCCCGGGGCCGCCTCCTCTCCTTGGGGCCTTTATGTCTCTCTCTCCCCACCTGCAGGTCCCGAGGGCTGTAACCTGTTTATCTACCACCTCCCCCAGGAGTTTGGCGACACGGAGCTGACACAGATGTTCCTGCCCTTCGGCAACATCATCTCGTCCAAGGTGTTTATGGATCGGGCCACCAACCAGAGCAAGTGTTTTGGTGAGTAACCGTCGCGGGCGCCCCTTGCCTCCCGCCTGCCGCCCGGCCGGCGACACCACCCCCACCCCCCGCCCCGCCCTGGGAAGCGGTGATCGGCCATGAGATGGGTCTCACACTCATTCATTTATTCACCCACCCATTCGTTCATTCATTCACCAAATAGATATCCGGGGCCCCTGCCATGTGCCACGCCCCGTGCTGGGCACAGAAGTCCCTGTCCTCGCAAAGCTCGGGCACCCCCCCCCCCGCTGGCCCCTAGAATTTTCTCTGACGCTGGCCGTGCTCTCCATCCTCTCTGGCCCAGCCGTCAGCCCCGCGTGGCTCCCGAGCCCTTGAAATGTGGCCGGGGCCACCCGAGAACTGAATTTCTGATTTGATTTGATTTGAATGAATTTAAGTAACCCCGCGTGGCCACTGGCTACGGAATCCGGAAGACACAGGGCGAGGGGAGGAGACGGAAGTAAATGAATGTAGGATCCAGGCCAGGGAGTCTGACAGGGCACGGAGAAAAATAAAACTGGGAAAGGAGAAGACTCTAAGGAAGAGGCGATGTTTCGATGGAGGCCTGAATGCTGAGGAGCCAGCCATGGGGGAATCTGGGGGGAGAGTGGTCTAGGTGGAGGGAACAGCCTGTGCAAAGGCCCTGGGGCAGGACCGGGCATGTTGGAGGAACAGCGAGGAGGCCCGTGTGGCTGGATCAGAAGGAGTGAGGGGGAGAGAGGGAGAAGGGAGGGGAGGGAGGGGATGGGGCAGGTCCTTGTGGACCTCGGGAGGACTTCCGTGTCCCCAGAAACAGGAAATGAAAGCTCAGAGAGGTATGGCAACTTGTCTAAAGTCACACAGCAGCAAAGAGACAGAACCCAGATTAGAAGGTCTCTGTAACTCCAAGATTTGGATTCTAAACCTCACCCCATCCTATTCAAGAGCCCAACTCTTGACTGTTTACTAAGTGCCTCTGTATACACTCTAGAGCCAAGCTTAAAAGGGAAGAATTGCCCCGGTTTACTGAGGGAAGAAAGAGAGGCCCAGAATGGTCAAGTGACACACTTGAGGTCACACAGCAAGGAAGGGATCCCCGCCAGCACCCAGGCCCCTCCTCTGTATCCTGCTTCCTGGGGGATGTGGGACGTTTTGGGAGGAAAACCTACTCAACCACTTTCAAGAGTCAGGGAGTCATAGGTCTTCTCTGAGCCTCAGTTTCTTCATCTGCCTAATGGAGGGCGGGTTAGAGGTGATAACAGATATGAAGACATGGACCCCCAGCTCCAGATTCCCTCACGGCTCCCCGCGGGCCCCACCCCTCAACTCTGAGCCCACCGTCTCCCTGCCCGACCTCCCGCCTGGCCTCCCACACACAGCCCTGGTGTCCCTGCCCCCCTGGAGGGCCCTCCCGCCGCTGTGGGCTCCACGTGCCCCCCGGGGAGCCTGTGAGGCCAAGAGGCGAGGACCAGGCGGCCCCGAGGCGGCAGGCGGAGGGAGCTTGGGGCAGTGAAAGCTTAGGGACGGGGAGCTGGAGGGTTCCTGATGGCGCTGGGGGGTGGGGCGGGGAGACTCGGGGTAGAAAGACTGACAGAGACAGAGACAGAGAGACAGAAAGAGAGCAGAGACGACAAGACAGACGAAGATAGAGAGAGAGTCTGATGGCCAGACAAGACCCCAGGAGGATGGAGGTCGCAGAGCAGGGAGAAGATTGGCAGCCAGGCCTGGAGGGAGGCATCGGGGGGGGGGGAGGGGGGGAGAACGCGGCCCTCCCGGGACCCCCAGAGGCCCCACCTGTCCCTCGCGCCAGACAGGAAGTCTCAGCAGAACAGACCCAGGTAAGGAGTGAGCACCCCGTCCCCAGAGGCATGCAAGTCCAGGGGCCGTCAGAAGCGGGCCAGGGCTGCTGTGTGGCCTCTGACGAGCCCTCCCGCCCCCCGCCCCGGCCCCCCGCGAGCCCCGAGCCGGCGGGAGACGCCCGCGATGCCCACCATGGCGGGTCCCCGTCTCCACAGGCTTCGTGAGCTTTGACAACCCGGCCAGCGCGCAGACCGCCATCCAGGCCATGAACGGCTTCCAGGTCGGCATGAAGAGGCTCAAGGTGCAGCTGAAGCGACCCAAAGACCCGGGACACCCCTACTGACCGCCCCGCCGCCCCGAGGCTGCGGGCTTGGCCCAGGTGAGCTGGCCCCACCCGTCTGGTCCGCACCCCCTCCTCAGTTTCAAACCTTTCCCAGGTAGGGGGACGCTGCCGGAGGCTACAAGGGGCCCCCAGGTTGGGTTGGCGGGGACAGAGCTGGACGAAGACACCCCCAGTGCCTCCCGTGGATGCGAGAGTGGGATTGCGGTGGGGAGCGGGGGAAACCAGTGATCCCTTAGGGCAATTAGGGAATCCTTCCTGCAAAAGGTTTTGAAGCATGAATAGGAGTTCGCCGGAAAGGCCAGGATCGGTCTGGGGTGGGGCGTGCTGTGGTGAGGGGCCTCTGTCCTGTGAATCTCCCAGCTGGGCTCATCACTGGGTGTCATTCACACCCAGTGGGTCGATGGGAAAGTGGAATGCTTGCCCCGCCCACCGGTGTGCCAAAAACAACCCAAAAAACCCCCCAAACAAACAAATCTCTAAGTGTATTTTGCCGTCAGAGCGAACAACCATCATCAAATCACCTTCCTCGGGGGAACGGATAGTGAGCCTGAGGGCCTAGGGGGGAACATAACGACCTCAAACCTTGACGAGCCTCGTCTGTGACACGGGCTCCTGAAGGTCGCCCCCCAGGGGCCTCGGGGAGGATGCGTGGGGCCCCGGCCCTCCAGCTGGGGAGCTCTCGATAATCATTTTCAGTTTTTCCCTTTTGATCGCTCTCGCTGCCATCACCAAAAGGGCCCAAGTATGTGCTCAGCGAGGGGCTGGGCGTCCTGCCCCCCGACCCTGCCGGGTCAGCACCGGCTGATTCGAGGGTGTCCGGTCACGGGGTCGTGCATTTCGGGACCCCCACCAACCGGAAGCCAGCCAGCTGGCGATCCGTGCGTTTCGACGCCTTTATGGAGCATCTGCTGTTTGCAGCGCTCGGAGACACAGTTTCAATGAACCGACCCGGTGGGGCCGGTGGGGGTGGAGAAGCTGCCCCTTGAGTTTTTTGGGGGGACGAGGCAGAGAGACACAAATAAGCAGAAAGATATGCTCCAGCTGCCAGGCGAGGACACGGCCTCCGACACCCCAAGTCCGTGCCAAGGCCCGGGTGTCACCCCCGAACCCCGAAATGGACTCCTTCTGAGAAGATGGGGGACCCTGAGGGGGGAGCGGGGGCGGCCGGGTCTGCCCGGCGCCCCCATCGCAGCGCCCTAATGCCCCTCCTTCTCCCCCAGGTGAGGGGCCGTCCCACCCCCGAGGCTTCTGCTTCCAACCGATCCAGGACTTTCCCTCCATCCCATCCTCCGGGTGTGGACACCAGCCTCCCATCCCCTCCCTGCCCCCTGCTCCTATAAATGTGACCCACTCCCGGACTGGCCCCTCGGAGCGGGGAGGGCTTCGCGGCCGCCCCAGGCGGGCGGGGAGAGGGGTGGTGGTGGTGACACTCCTGAGTTGGGGGGGCTGAGGATCCACCGCCCCCTTCCTGAGAGATGTCCTCGCTCCCACCCCACACGCAGGACCTTGGTGGCTTTCCCCCCTTGACGAAATGGCAACTTTTCCTATATATATATATGCATATATATATAGAGCTAGAGACAGTATATATTTTTTGAGTATAGATCATGGGACCAAACTTTTCCGACTTCCTTCCGTCCAAGAGAGGGTGGCCCCGGGCCGGTCACTCGGCAGGGACATAAGAAGGGCTGAGGCGGGCTGGGCAGCCCGGTGTCCCCCCCACCCCAACTCCCACTGCCGTGTCAGACCAGGGGCCGGAGAAGCAGCCGCCGCCATATACCTCCAAGGCCTCCTGGCCCCCCACAGTGTCCCTGGTCCTCGCTGCAGCTTCTGGAGCCCCCCCGTGCCCGCCTTGTCGCAGGGCCCTGCCTTCCCCGGATGTAGGCACAAAGGAGACCCCTGTGTCCCCCAGCCATGCCCCCAGTCATAGCCTTACTCATGTGACCAATAGCCCTTAGCTTGGGGGGCAGATGGGGTCCGGGGGAGCCACCCCCGGCGCCCCCTCCCAAGGGCAGGCGGCCGCCCTCCTGCCTTCGGATCACCAGCCTGGAACCTCCACGTCGCCAAGCTCGCCACGCGGCTGGACCAGCCCGGCCCGCACCGGCCCAGCGTCCCTCCAGCGGACATACCTCTGTCAAAGATTTCTTTTTTTTTTTTTTTTTTTATTATTATTATTTTGGTCTTTCTGAGCAGGTACAAAGAAGGGAAGAGCAGAACTAACAAACACAAACTCAGACAGCACTGGATTTTGATTTCCTAGCCGGGGCAGGGAGGGGGACCTTGTGGGGTGCCTCTGTACGGCCACCGACCGCGACACCCACCTTGAAGCACACAGAACCGGGCTCGTCCGACCGGCCGGCGGGGCCTCTCGCCGGACAGGCACCAGAGACCTTCAAAAGCTCAAGAAAACAAAACAAAACAAAACAAAAAAATGAAAAAGAAAAAAAAAAACAGCTTTCCCTTTTGTTTCTACCAAAACGTGTGGACCGACCCAGAAAAAAAAAAAAAAAAAAGAAACCTAGCAAAAAAAAAACAAAAAAAACAAAAAAACGAAGAAAAGGAAAAAAAAAAATCTTCTGAGCGACTTGTTTCCGTATCCGGGAGTTTGATAATTGTTCCGAGACTCTAGCGTGCCTGTGTCCCGTGCGTCTGCGTGTGCAAGCGTGTGCTCCGGGGCCGCGAGGGGACCCGGCCCGTGTCCCCGCGCCCGCCAGGCCCGCCTGCCAGTGCGTGGTGGCAGCGTGCGGTGGCCCGTGTCCTTCTGGTCCATGTTTACTGGCTGTAAATATCATTTTTATACTCCACACCGAAGATCGACGTGATTTGTACGATGTACTTTATTTCTGCTACGGGCAATTTCATCGTTTCAACCTGCAAACTGACTTTTGGAGACAAACCGCCACACACACACACACACACACACACACACACGGAGAGGACCTCGAGGGCGTTTCGGGTTGACTTATTCGAATCTCGTGGCTGGAGAGGTCGCGGGCCCCCGGGGGGGCGACGGGCCGGGTGAGAAACCGCCCTGGTGGCCGGAACGCCTCTCTGTGGGCTGGAGAAGCTGAAAATTTATTTAATAAAAGTTTTACTTGCTAATGGACTAGTCCTGCCTCATTGCACCTCCCTCACGATTCAGACCGAGGGCATCAGGCCCCCCCGGGGGGGCGTGGGCCGGAGAGGACTCCGGGTCAGAGTTCAGGGACGCAGGAGGTGACAGGCCGGGAAGGGAGGGCGCATTCGCCCCAAGGTGAAGGAGCCAAGTGTTCAGTCTCGAGAGGAGCCGAGGCCGGTGTTTGTGGATCAGGTGTTCATACATTCACTCAACAAACACTGAGTGAATGTCAACTGTGGGGAATGCCTCCCGCCTCTGCCCTCAGGGATGCAGCCAGGGTGGGGGCCGGGGAGACACTGTGCTATGCACATTTTAAAAGATTGGGCTAAAATACACATAACATCAAATCCACCATTTTAAGGTGTACAATTCAGTGGCATTGAGTACAGTCACAAGGTTGTGCGACCATCACCAGTAATTCCAGAACGTTCCATCAGCCCAAAATGAACCCCGTCCCCATCAGCATCACCCTCACCCCCTCCCCAGCCCCTGGCCCCCACGAGCCCGCTCTCTGCCTGTGGATCTGCCTGTTCTGGATGTTTCCCGTCCATGGGGTCACACGCCGTGTGTCCTTCTGTGTCTGCGTCTCTCCCTGAGCGTCGTGTGTGCAGGTTCGTCCACGTGCGGCTGTGTCAGGGCCTCGCTCCTCTTCACGGCCGTGTCATATTCCAGCGTGTGGGGGGACACATTGTGTGGATCCGTTAATGGACATTTGGGCTGTTGCCACTTTGGGGCCACTGTGACAGTGCCACTAAATCTTCCCGTACGAGTTGTCATTTGGACGCCTGCGTCTACCTCGGGTGGACCCCTAGGAGCTGAGCTGCGGGTCATGTGACAGTTCCGTTTAGCGCTCTGAGAACCACAAACCCTCCTCCATGGCGGCCGGCCCGTCTTACTTTCCCGCCAGCCACGCACGGGGGTTCCCGCTCCTCCGCGTCCCGGTCATCGGTCCTGACGTGGCAGGTTCAGGGAGACATTCCCCAGGTGGGCCTGCCGCCGTCAAGGACCCAGAAGTGTCCCGAGGAGGTGAGACCCGAGAGATGATGGTGCGGCTTTGGCTGAAAAGACGTAAATAAAACCACACACGGCCCCCCGCCCCACTCCACTGGGGGCCTCGAAATTCCTCCAAAAAAGAAAAAAACCCTGGAAGGGTTTTCCAGGTGGAAGGAACAGCCTGGGCAAAGGCTCAGAGGCTTGAGATGCTGTGATGGTTGCACGCGTGGCTGAGAGCACAGCACCCGGCAAAGAGATGGGTGCAGAGATGCGAGGGGCTGCGTGACAGAGGCCCTTGCATGACAAAGCACCTACTGTGTGCCAGGCCCTGTCCCCACCCTCCCCAGGCTGCAGGTGAGGGCAAAGGTGGACACGAACCACAAACACCCCACCCCCACTGGAAAAAGGGAGTCCCGAGCGGGCTACATTTGTAACCGCCGCGAGATTTGCAAACCCAGCACGCTGTCTGGATGTCACTGGGGAGCCAAGGAAGGGCTTGGAGCAGGGGAATGACACGATCGGATCGGGGTGTTAGGAGGACACGGGGGTGACGTCTGTGCTGCTGCTGGGGCGTAAGTCAGCACGCTGGAGGACGATTCAGCAGGATCATGTTCCCGCCAAGCGTTTATTAAGTACTTACTGTTTGCCAAGTGTTGTTTCAAGCCTGTGTCCTCCGACACAGTAGCCACATGTGGCTATTTGAATTCAAGTCAATTTATCAAATTGCAAATTCACTTCCTCACTCACGCCAAGCCCCATTTCCAGGGCTCAGCGGCCACACGTCCATCTATGCACAGAGTTCTATTGGACGGCACTGGTCTAAGCGTTTTATAGGACTTAACTCACTTACCTGCCCCCACCCCGTGAGGTGTGTCCCGTTAAGAGCCCCACTTTGTGAGTTAGGAAGCTGAGGCTCAGAGAGGTCAAGCAGCCTGCCTGAGGCTGCACAGCAGGAGCGGAACCCAGGCTCTTCTCTTAAATGGTCCGCTATCCCGCTTCCCTGTGCTGGGTAGCGGCTGAAGTCAAAATGTGTAAGACCATAATTCAAGTTGTTATTTGCAGTAGCCCAATTTAAGCTTTCAAATTTAGCTCAGAGTTGTTTAAATGTTTAGAACGCGCATCCTTATGATACCGCAGTTCTGCCTCCGGGCGTCTCCGAGGAGGGAACACCGATTTGCCGGGACGGCGGAGCCCTGGCTGCGACGAGGCCGTTCGTGCAGGCGGAACGGGCGAGGGACGCCAAGGATGTACCAGCAGCTACGGCTGCGTCACAAATCCCCCCCGAATTTAGCAGCTTAAAGCACCACACGTTTGTCGTCTCCCACCGTTCCTGCGGGTCGGGAATCCAGGAGAGACGGGGCTGGGTGGTTCTGGTTTGGGGTCTCTCACGAGGTCACGGTCAGGCTGTCGGCCGGGGCTGCCTCATCCGAGGGCTCGACCCGGGCTGGAGGAGCCACTCGCCGCCAGGATGGCTCCCTCGTGTGGCTGTTGGCTGGACGCCTCAGTTCCTCGCCACGAGGACCCGTCTGCAGCGCTGCTCCGGACCCGGGGGCTGGCGTCCCCCAGAACGAGTGTGATTCAAAGGGGGGGGGGAGAGAGAGGACACCGCCTTTGCTGACCTGTCCCCGGGTCACACACCATCACCTCTGCCTTGTTCTGTTTGTTGGAGTCGAGTCACTAAGTCCAGCCCACCGTCACAGCGGATCCGACGAAGGCACGGACCCCGGGGGCCACCTTGGAGGGTGGCCGCCACCGAGAGGCATTCCCGCCACAGAAGATCCCGCGGCCGTGAGAGAAGAGAATCGTCTCTGGGTCACATGGTTCGATGAAGGCGAGAGCGGCAGAAAAATGCACACGGCGGGAAATGATCCAGTGTGTGTGTGTGTGAGTGTGTGGCTTTTAAAAATATATATTCTAGGGGCCAGCCTGGTGGCACAGGGGTTAAGTGCGCACCTTCCGCTTTGGCGGCCCGGGGTTCGCTGGTTTGGATCCTGGGTGCGGACATGGCACCACTTGGCACTCCATGCTGTGGCAGGTGTCCCACGTATAAAGTAGAGGAAGATGGGCACAGACGTGAGCTCAGGGCCAGTCTTCCTCAGCAAAAAGAGGAGGATTGGCAGCAGATGTTAGCTCAGGGCTAATCTTCCTCAAAAACAAAAAATATATATATATATATTCTACTTTCTCTCTGGGGATGTGTATGTGACCATAAGAATGAGAAGAAGGGACCAGAAGTATATCCACCAAGATGATGAAGGCGTGGCTTTGAGGACGTGAAGAATTGGGGGCCAAGACGAAGCCGACCTGAGCTCAGCTACAAGCTGTACAAGGTGAATATACTCAGGTAGATTAAGAATTCATTTTAAATACATTTTTTTAAGATGAAAGGAGGGCAAAGGCGGGTATGGGAGTTATTTGGGGAAAAGAGCCCACATTGAACACAACTGCTCCGCTGCCCTATGGAGAGGCCCGCAGGGCAGGGACCGACAGCCAGTGAGGAGCTGAGTTCTGCCAACAGCCCCTCGAGCTTGGAAGTGGATCCTTTCCCCTGGGCGAGACTTTGGGTGAGACCCCCCCCCCGCCGCCTGTGAGAGACCCCAGCTGAGCCCCCCCAGACTTCCCACCCACAGGAACTGGGAGATCATAAATGTTTTCAGCCACTAAGTTTTTTTGGTTTTTTTTCCTTGAGGAAGATTGGCCCTGAGCTAATATCTGCTGCCAATCCTCCTCTACTTTATATGTGGGATGCCTCCCACAGCATGGCTTGCCAAGCGGTGCCATGTCCGCACCCGGGATCCGAACCGGCGAACCCTGGGCTGCCAAAGCAGAATGTGCGAACTTAACCACTGTGCCACTGGGCCGGCCCCTCAGCCACTAAGTTTTAAGGTGACTCACGAAGCAGCGATGCTGACTAACCCCTCAGCAAAACTTCATCCGCTACAATGACAACAACCACAAGGTACCTGGAACAGACCTGGGAAAATGGCAATATTGTTTGGAGACACAGAAAGGAAAAGCCAGGCAAGCGGTAGGTTGGCTGATGGTGGGACCCAGGGCACCCGGCGACGTAAAGGGGCCCGTCCTCCCCCAGAGGAGCCTGGAACTTCGCTCAGTTCACATCCCCACGCGGACAATCGTATCGTGAGCAAAACAAGCCTGGAATGTCCCCAAATGAATGGCTGTTTATTGACCGCATACGACGCCCCGGCCTGGTTCCCGGGACCTTATTAAGTATTAACTCGCTTAATCGTCATGGCAACACGATGAGGTCGGATCTGGCCCACCGACGGGGAAACAGAGACGCCAGGGGTGGCCAGGCTGCGGGTCCTGCCCACGGAACTTCTGCCACGCGACCCCGTACGACGCAAACAGCTTTCTACGGTTTGTCGCGGGAATGAACGAGCTAATATTTAAACCCCGGAGTCAGCACTACAGAATTGTCAAAGTCCGTCAATCCTGCTGAAAAGTCACTTTCCGGACGCTGTGTCCCGGGCCACCAGCAGGGGACAGCAGAGCCCCATGCCTTAGTTCAGTATTGACGCCTTCATTTGAAATGCGGGCAAGCATTTATTACGCACCGGGTGTGTACGTCGCGCTGCGCTGGGGGCCGGGGCAGGTGGTGAGGGGGCTGTCTCCTGGGACACAGACACCACCCTGTCCAACTTTCTTAGCCCCTCCCTTAAAGCGTGTAGGGTCAGCCCACCTCCCCTCTCTTCCTTCCTCTCTCGGGTCACAGGGCCTTTGCACGTGCGGTGCCCCCTCCGCCTCGGCCGGGAACGCTCTCTTTCCCATCCTGGAGCTCTGGGATGCTGGCTCGGGATGGAGGCACGTGTAATAGCAGTATTTGCTGAGCAGCTAAAGGTTTGCAGGTCCTTGAGCAGCCTCGTTCTCGCTCCAAGCCTCAGTTTCCTCATCTGTAAGGTGGGGCTCAAGAGAGCATGCACCGTCCAGGATAGTTGAGACGGTCAGGGAGATTAATGCATGCACGCGAATAACAGCCAGTGTCATTATAATATAATATTATGAAAAGGCAAAACAGGACCTCCTCCTAATTCAGAGAAGTGGGCGTCATTCCTACTGGATTCCAGCGGCAACAAGCATTTATTGGGCGCCTGCTGTGTGCCACGCGGGAACAAACCCCACAAAATCCCCGGCCCCGCCCCTAGAGCCTCGCCCCGCCCACTCTCTTTCTCGAGCCTACCAAAGCGAGGTAGAGGCGGGGTGATCTGCATATTCATGAGACCACCAGCCAATCCACAGCCTGAATCGGACCTGTCTGTAGAGCCCGGCCGATTGTGACGTCAGGAGTGACGTAGTCCTTGATCCTTAAAGGCGCAGTCACCTCCTATAGAGAAGGGGGTTCGGAACCGAGTCGGAGAGACACGTAACTCGGGGTTCCGTCCAGCGCCGGTCGGGGCGTGCGAGGCGGAGAAACCAGCTCGGGCCGGCGGCGCCCGAACAGCGGTGCCATCCTGGGCGAAGGCGGGGACCCCCTGCCAGCTGGGGCTTCAGCACCGGGGGTCGCGGACAGCTCCAGCGCCCCCGTGCAGGGAGGTTCCGCGGACTCGGTCCAACGAGACCCCCAGCCCTCGGCCCGCGCACGTGACAAAGGCCTCCTCTGGCGCCCTGGACCAGCGCTGTCCCCTCCCTCCTGGCCCCCGGGCTCCCGCGCCCCCCACAGTCTGTCCTCCCCGCAGCCCCCACCAGAGGGCGCCTGGGAGCCCCTGAGTCGGTCCAGCCCTCCTCCACCCGCAGCCCTCCACGCTCCCCCCTCCCTCGGGGAGATGCCCGAGTCCTCCCCATGGCCACCAGCCCCTGCCCTCCCTCCTCCCTCTCTCCCCCTCGCTCCCCCTGCACCAGCCACACAGGCCTTCCCACTCTTCCCCCAACACACCAGGCCCGGGCCTGCCCCAGGGCCTTTGCACCGGCTGTGCCCTTGGCCTGGAATGCCCTTCCCGCTGGTACCCCCATGGCTGGTTCCCTTTCTCCTCTGGGTCTCTGCTCAATGTCATCTCAATATGGACTTGGCTCCCACATTTTAGACTTTAACTCCCCTCCTAGTGGTCCCGACCCCTTAGCCCACAGCCTCGCCACATCCCTCAATATCAATACCACTCTTGGATTTCTAACCCAAGACATCATTTACTCTAAGGTTGTATTTTCCTCAGAATCTGTCTTCCCGCCTTGAATGTCAGCTCCATCAGGGCAGGGATTTCCCCAGGAGAGGGAACAGCCCATGCAAAGGCCCTGCGGTGGGTGGGGATGGGCACACAGGATGGAGCTGAGCGAGGGAGGGGTGGCGGGCGGAAGCGATTTGCGCCGTGACTCATCCGGGCAGATGGTGGCCCCGGGGGAGCCCCGATCCTCTTACCTAAAGCCCCTTAATACTTCCGCCGCGTGGGTCACCTCCGGGCTGCTCCTGCTCGAGTGGCCACCATGCCGGGGCTGGCGGGCCCGGGGGGGATGGAGGGCTGGAGCCCCACGCCGCCGCTCTACGAGGAGTACCGGCCACCGCAGCTGGACGCCATCCGCCTGCCGCGGTACGTGCTGTACCTGCTGCTGGCCGCGCTCCTCGTGCTGGCCGTGGCCTACGCCATTGTCGGCCACCTCATCAAGGACCTGGCCCACGACCTGGCTGGTGAGCCGCCGCCCCACACGGGCCTGGCTGGGGCTGTGCTGGGCCGCTCGGGGGTCCCAGGGCTTCTGCTAGCCGGGGAGGGGGCGCGGGTGGCCAGGGGACACTGGGGAGGCTCAGGGCCTCGATGGGGCAGCGCAAGCGGTGGGGGTGGCCAGGGGACACTGGGGTGGTCCTCACAAGCCCCTTGTGCAGACTGGGCCTTCGGCCCGAAGCCGGACCAGGAGGACGGCCCCCGGGAGCTGCGCCCGAGCCCGGAGGGCGAGGACCTGGAGCAGCTGGACCTGCAGCTGGCCCTGGCCTGGCGCGGCGACGAGGACGGCGGCGAGGCGGCCCCCGCAGAAGCCCCCGCCAGGGCCCCCCGCCGACCCTCCATCGCCTTCAAGGACCCCGGGGGCCGCAGCTCCTTCTGGAGGCTGAACTGAGGCGGTGCCGCCTACACCCGGCCAGGCCCTCCCTCCGGGCGCCTGGGCCCCTCCCCGCCGTCTGGGCCGAGGACCCTCGCTCGTCCTGGGCTGGCCGTCGGGGGGTCAGCCCCGGGCTGTTCCCACGCTCCTGCTGCCCCCAAACCTGGAGCCGACCCTGCCTGGCCTCCACCAAGCCCCGGGAGTCTGCAAAGCAAGAACGCTCGGACGTAAAGACATAGTCCCAAGAGCAGCGGGCCCCCCTTCAGCACTCAGTATGCGCCTGCTGTTGCGCTGAGTCAGCCCGTTGCATGTATTATCTCATTTAATCCGCCGAGGGAGGACGGATCGCCCATTTAACAGAGGGGAAACGGAGGCACGCGGCCCAGAAATGACTGGGTCGGAGCAGAGATGGCTTTTTCTAGAAAGAGGCCAGGCCGGTGACCTGCCTTGGAAAGCAGATGCTCCCAGAGGGGGGTTCTGCCCCTAGCTGCTCCGCTGGGCGCCGCGACCTCCGAATGGCCCCCACCCCGCTCCTCCCGCCTGGGTCACGGCTCCCCAGCTCGATCTGTCTCTGGGGATCCTGACTTACCAACGAGGCCCAGAGCTCCCAGGGGAGACAGCCCGAGGCTTCCCTCCCTTCTGAGCTTTCTTGCACAGGACAGGGCACACAGTAGGAGCTTTCTACGTGCCAGTCCCGCTGGTTGAAGCAGGCCGGCCTGGGGCCTGGGCACCTGAGCTCCGTCACTCTCTACTGAGTGGCTCGTCTGCACAATGCTTATAGTCAGACCTGGAAGAGAGGTGGCTCCAGGTATACAGTAGGCGCTCCATAAATGCATGTGCAATGATGCTAGCATCCTCCCAGCCCCCAAGGGCCCTGCGTGGGGGGGGGGGGGGGGGGGGACTGTCTCATAGGCCTGGAGAAGGGCCAGCCCCCACCCTGCCTTCCTGCCACGTGCTGGAGGCATGGCTGTCTCGCCCTGGGGTGGCAGCTGGGGTGGGGTCCCCCTTGGCCGGGGGGCAGGGTCCACGCTCTAATCACCGCGGGATCAAGGTTGACAGGCAGGGGAGCCTGGAGCCTGAGTCATCTGCGCGGGGGTGCCCCGGTCTCCGGCTGGGGTTGAAGGTGGACGCGGACCAGGGGTCCCTTCCCTTCTTGGCCCCGCGCCCACCTCACGCTGGCTGTGGGTTCCCAGGGGTCGGGGAGCTGACCCGGGGTGACAGATGCTGCTGGCCGCGAGGGTTCAGACTCCAGCTGCCGGCTGTTTCTGCACCACTTTGTGCCCAGGCCTCTCCGCCAGGCGCGGCGCGCGCTCCCGGGGGCGCTCAGAGCAGGTGACCGTGCGCACACAGCGCCGGGCGGCCACGGAGGGCGCTGGGGGACCCCGAGGCTGGGGCAGGGGCGGGCCTCCGGGTTAATTGTTACCCCGGGTCCAGAGTCTGCCCCCCGGGGGCCAGGGCCGCCCCGCCCCGGACCCGCCTGCGCCTTATCACCGCCTGCGCTCGCACCGCGCCGCGCTCCCTGCCGGCTCCTCCGCGGCCATGGGGACCCTGGGGACCCTGCGGACCCTGCTCGCTCTCGGCGCTCTGCTCCTGGCGCCCGCCGAGGCCCAGCAGGGTAGGGCTCCGGCCCCGGGCGGGCGGTGGGGGGTCGTGGGGGGTCCCCGGGATGGGCTGCGCCTGGCTTCGCCTCCTCTCCCCCACCCCCCCCGTTTTCCAAGAGGAGAAACTGAGGCCTCTGATGAGGACGAGGCCGGCAGAAGATGGGGGTCAGCCCCTTTGGGAGGCCTGGCCTCCCCCACAATCCCCTGGGGCTTGGCCCCCCCATCCCGGGGGTCCCCGCTCCTCTTCTCTGAAACCCAGCCCCTTCCGTGCAAGCATCGCCCGCACCCTTCTCGTCTCCCCTCCCCGTCTCTGAGGCCCCCTCCCGCACCTCCCGACCCCCGCAGGGCGCCAGCTGAAGCCCTGGCTGGTGGGCCTGGCTGCCGTCGTGGGGTTCCTGTTCATCGTCTTCGTCCTCATGCTGGCCAACCGCGTCTGGTGCTCCAAAGTGAGGTGGGAGCCTGTGCGCCGCCCCCCCCCCGCAGCCGCCTGTCCCCCTTCTGCTCCCCAAAGAGCTAGGCACCCCTGTCCCACTTCCTAACCCTCTCTGGTCCCTCCCCCCTGTTGCCCGGCTGATGCCCAATGTCTGGAGGCCTCCCCATCACCCTGCTCCTCCTCGGCCCCCGTCCCGTAGCCCAGGACAGCCATGCGGCCTACCCTCCTGCTTCCTGGAGGTCCTAAGTCCTATAGAGGGGACACTGAGCCGAGGCTATCCCCGCCTCCCGCCCTTCACTCCTCCTCACCCCTCTGTCTCCATCTCCCATGCAGAGCTGAGGACCAGGAGGAGTCCGCTATCAGGCTGGAGCCCAACGTGTACCAGGAAATAGATCCGAGGTACCGCCTGTGTTTGAGGGTGGGGGTCAGGGGGTCTGTGTGAGCCCCTTCCTGGGGGCGGGAGGGATGGGTGCACACAGATGACCTCTTTCTGTCCTGAACACCTCAAGCACGTTCCTGCCCCAGGGCCTTTGCACTCACTCTTCACTCTGGTTGGAAGACCTTTCCCCTGGGTGTGCACGTTCCTGCCCCAGGGCCTTTACACTTACTGTTTGCTCTGATTGGAACACCCTTCCTCGTATCTTCTGGCTGGCTCCTTCTCCTCCTCCAGTCCCTGTTCCATGTGTCCTCCTCACAGAGGCTCCACCCTGATCGCCGGCCTCCCTGACACTCTCTGTCCCACAGCCCTGCTTGCTTTCTTTGTGGTCCCCACTAGCTGAAACGCTCTCAGTCATTTACTGGTTTCTCACCGTGAGACGGTGGCTTCCAACAGGTGACTAGAACTTAGCTTTGATCCTGGCTGTGTCCCCACTGCCCAGCACAGGGCCTGGCACACATTAGGCGTTTAATAAATACCTGTTGAGCAAGACTGCAGAGTGGGGTTATGTGACCACAAGCGTGTGACTGGGTGTGGGGGGCCCTCCCGGACTCAGGTCTCCTGTGGTCCCGACCGCGTCCAGATGTGATTTTGATGGAGGGCTCAAGGTGTGCTCGTGGCTGGGGCACTTCTGGACCAAGATCCCAGCTGAGCAAAGGCTTGGGGGCAGGACTAGGGGTGCACGAGCCAGGACGAGACCAGCCTGGCTGGAAGGTTCTGGGCTGAGCCCAGGAAGTGCCTGAGGGAGTGTGACCCTGACTGTGCCCTAAGACCCAGCTCAGCCCCAGTAAAGCGTGCGTCCCGCTCCCAGGCTGTGCGGAGGCTCCAGACCGTGCCGGGGCGCCTCGTTCATCCCTCCCTCCCTCCCTCCATCCACCCATCCACCATCCATCCATCCACCACCCATCCATCCACCATCCACCATCCACCCATCCATCCATCCACCACCCATCCATCCACCATCCACCCATCCATCCATCCATCCATCCTTCCATCCTTCCCTCCCTCCCTCCCTCCATCCATCCTTCCATCCTTCCCTCCCTCCATCCATCCATCCACCACCCATCCATCCACCATCGACCATCCATCCATCCACCCCTCCATCCATCCACCATCCACCATCCATCCATCCCTCCCTCCCTCCATCCATCCATCCACCATCCATCCATCCATCCATCCTTCCATCCTTCCCTCCCTCCATCCATCCATCCCTCCCTCCCTCCCTCCCTCCCACCTTCCATCCATCTATCCATCCTCTCATCTGCCCATCCATGGGGCAGTTGAGTCTCTGTCTCTGTCTTGGTGAAATGGAAATAACAAGGCTGCCTCATCAGGGCTGTCCTGAGGCTTCAACAAAGATGCTTTTTGTCGAACACTCGTCACAAGACCTGGCACAGGTAGGTGTCCATTAAATGGGAGCGACTCTGTCTCATTGTGGCCTGGGGCCTTTGTGTCCCTGCAGTAAAGAAGGCAAGAAGGGCAAGAAACAGAAGGAGAAAAAGGCCAAGAAGACAGGAGAAACCAACTTGGGGCTGGAGGAAGAGGGGCCCAGAGACCACGAGAAAAACAAGAACACGGCCATGTGAAGACTCCCCACTCGCCTCCTCCAGGCAGCCCTCCAGACATGCCCCTCCCCACCCTAAAGGAATGACCTGGACCTGAAGCCACCGAAATGACTCCATCTGGGGTTGAGAACACAGCGCCCCGAATGAAGAGGCTTGGGACTCACCCCGCCCCTCAAGGAGAGCTCTCTGCGCCTTACACGGTCCTTATGCACCCTCCTTCTAATTCGTCCTGCCTGGTGATTCTTCCCGCACTTGGAGCGTGTTCCTCATTACAGAGAAACCCCCCAAACCCCCCAATCTGATGGCTCCACCTTCTTCTCCCCACTGCCTGATTTCTTTTCCCTCCGCCTGATATCTATTGGTCACAATCTCCTCCCTCCCATGAAACCTCAGGACCAAGACCGGCCAGGGGCTGCCTCTTGGGGGCCTGCATTAAAGAATTGATAAGAGCCCTCCGGAAGGGCTCCTGTCGTCTTTCGGGACTCAGTTTCCCCCTGGGGGAGGCAGCTTTTGGGGTTGGGGGCAACGCCGGGGCAGGGGTGGGAGACCCGGCCGCACGAGTGCCCGATGCCCCAGGCAGATTGAAAGCTGCCCCGGCCATCTCGCCTTTGCGGCCCTGATTACTGGACTTTGAGCCCCGAGGGCCGTCTCCCGGGAAATCCCTGCCTCCCTCACCCCCGTGTTTTAGGTCGCGTGACTCGGTTTCTGGGAGCTGGGTCCCAGAGGGTGGGGTTGGGCCCTGCCCTGTCCTGGGGGTGGGGGGTGGGACAGCACTTTCCCCTCCGTTTCCAGCCTCCCCCACTCTCCTCACTTTCTCCGGGGCCCTGGACCTTGCCCTGGACGGTAACTCTCTCTTCACGAGGACTTTGATAAAGGCTGGCGTTTGGGGCTCCGCTCTGGGGTCCAGAGCTGGGCTTGGGGTCCAGCCCAGATGCCGGGGAGCCAACCCTTCCAGGATCGCCCACCAGGGGGCGGCAGAACCATAAATAAACGAAACGTAGGAATCGCCCTAATCCATGTCCCCACGGAGCGCCTGGCATCTTTATCCGCCCTCGGTCTCTGTCCGTACCCAATTCGTCCCATAAAAGCTGAAAACACTGAGGCTTAGAAAAAGGGGAGCCACTGGCCAGGTCTCCCCGGCTGTTGTTGGCCGAGCTGGCACGGAAGCCCTGGCTGCCCAAAGGATTGGGGTGTTGGCAGGCTCTGGCAAAGGTGCATTTGGAGACTCACGTCCTAAGGATGGTGGGAGATGGTTGGGGTGGGGCTGGGGGGGGGGCGGTCCTTCCTGTCCGTGGTTCCTAGCTGGGAGAACTGTGTTCCTCTGCAATGCTGTGCAGCCCCGGGAGGTGGCCTGACCTCTCTGAGCCTCCAGTTGGCTCCTCTTCTGCAACGTGAGGACCAGAGTTTGAGGCTTGAAGGAGGCACGCGGGCTTAAGGGCCACTGCAAGGCCTGGCACAGAGTTGGCGCTCAGGACATGAGTCCCCACCTTCCCCGAGCCTCCCCGAGCGAGGGGTCAGGGTGGACCTCAGGGAGACAGGCTGCTGGGACGCTGGGGAACCCAGGGAGGGGGGCGGCCCCACGCCCACTTCCTGCGGCACCGGCCACACCCCGCCCTGGGGTGCCCGGGGCAGGCCACTTCCTCCTCCGCAGGGGCTGCGCCCCAGAACCTGCTGGACGGGGGCGAGGACGGACGGACCAGATGGGCAGATCCTGGGCGACCCCCGGCCGACTCTGCCTCCTGGCAGCTCTGGGCCCGCGGCCTGGCCAGGCGCAGCCCTGTAAGGCCTCGGGGTGGGGGGCGCAAGGGGGGCGGGAAGCGGCCCCCCAGCGCCGGGCCGCTGACGCCCCCGCCCCCCCTCCCCCGCAGTGGCCCAGAGGAAGCCGTGGCTGGTGGGGCTGGGGGCCGCGCTGGCCTTCCTCTTCCTCCTCTTCGTCCTCGCCCTGGGCCACGCCATCTGCTGCAGCGGGTCCAGCGACAGGTGGGCCCCCGCCCTGTCTGAGCCCCTCGTCCAACCAGCCACCGCCCCCCTCGGGGCCCCTCCCCCATCCTCTCCCCTGGAGCCCCGCCCCCTCCCCTCCCCTCAGGGCCCCGCCCCTCTGGGCTCCAGGGAGCACCTCTCCCTTCATCAGCATGCTGGGGTCTCCCATCCTCGCTGGCTTCCCTCCTGACGACTCATCTGCAAAACGAGGGCGGCTTCCTCGCAGAGACCCCCGTCCTGAGACGTGTCTCCCACGGGAGCTGTGGAGTCTGTCCCCCCCCCCAATTAACCCTCCAGCTAATCCCGTCCACTGGGCCCTCCATCCATTTACCCATCCGCTCGTCTGCCCCTCCCTCCCCCCAGCCGTCCGCCATCCCTGCCTCTGTGTCCCTCCTTCCCTCCCTCCCTCCATCGTCCATCCCTCTGTCCACCCTGTGTCCATCCTTCTGTCTGTCCATCATCCATCCCTCTGTCCATCCATAGTCCATCCCTCTGTCTGTCCATCATCCATCCCTCTGTCTGTCCATCATCCATCCCTCTGTCCATCCATAGTCCATCCCTCTGTCCATCATCTATCCCTCTGTCTGTCCATCCCTCTCTCTCTTCACCCACCCATCATCCATCCACCCACCTTCCCACCGTTCATCCACACGTCCATCTGTCCATCCGTCCACCCATCCACTCCTTAACCCGCCCACCCCCCATCACCCACCCCCCGTCTGTGGCCGCCCGATCACCCACAGTTTTGCGACCCAGGGAGCCAGCGAGGCCAGACACTGAGAGCGCGGTTCTGGCTGATGCGGCTGCAGCGTGGGCGCCGGCCCCGCTGCCTGTTCACACTGGGCGAGCGCCCTCGGCTGTCTGGGCCTCGGCGTTCCCGTCTACACAGTGGGAGCAGCGGCGGGCAGGACTCAGAGGCCCTGGGAGAACGGTGGGCGGCCTGGGGCCCCGGGAGGCCTCCCTGAGCTGGCGTCTCTGGGCCCTGCCTGTCTCCACAGCGACAGAGAGAAAGAAGAGGAGACTGTGAGAAAGAAGGAGGAGGAGGAGGGAGAGGACGCCTGGGGGCTGGAGCTGGAGGAGCTGGAGGAGCCTGGGAGCCAGGAGAGGGCGGCGAGCTCCTCCACCTGAAGGCTTCCCACCCGCCTCCTCCAGGCAGCCCCCCAGGGATGCCGCAGTGTCTCCTCCGCACCCTGGTCCTGGGGCCGGGAGAATGACTCCATCTGGGGTTCGGGGTAAAGTGTCCCTGGATGAAGGCGGCTCAGGACCTGGCCCCCCCCCGCCCCCCCGCAGTCCCTCCTGGAAGTCTCTTTGCGGGTTACCTGGCTGTTACACCCTCCTTGGGCCTCCACCTGGTCTTTCTTCTCGAGCCCGGACAAGGAGCTCCCCACAGCCCGCGGCCCCCAGGGTCTCATCTCTGTCCCCCCTCTGCATCGCAGACATCTTTCTTTACCCGCTGCCTGATTTCTTCTCCCACCCTGAACGTGAACGTGGAGCTGGCTGCCTGGGCGAGGAGGGCCCCTCCCACCATGCGCTGAGTTTCAGGGGACCGTCCTGGAAGCTGCGAGTCCCAGGGGCTGGGCTGTGGGTGCACAGCCTTGTCACCCCCTCTTCCAGTCCTGCACTCCCGGTGGGCGCTCCACGGTAAAGGAATTGGAGTCCCAGCTTCCTTGCTGTGTGACCCCTGGCAAGTAACTTAACCTCTCTGTGCCTGTGTCCTGTCCTGTAAAAGGGGAGGATGATAACTAGGTCTTGCATAAATTGTCACGAGGATTAAACGGAATAATGTCTAGAAAACTCCTGAGGGCAGAACCCAGAACTCAAAAGGTATCAAATAAATGTCAGCTTTGGGGGTGCTGAAATGGTGGCAATGGGGGGAAGAGCGAATGAGGCTCCCCCCTCAGACTTGGGGGGTCCCGAGGGTCAGAGGGTGGGTTTCCAGACCGCGGCTCCGGGAGCCTGGAAGTCTTCTGCCCCCGGGCTCCTCCGTGCCAGGTCTGGGGGTGCCGGGTGGGGGGCGGTGCTGAGGGGGGAGGGAGGCAGGGGGAGGGGAGGTCTGGTTTGGACCCCTCCGTTTCAGCAGGGGCGGGATTTCCCCGCCAGGGGGAGGCTGCAGAGATGAGGGGGGCGTTTTGGGGTTGTCACAAGCCTGTCCCCCCTTATTTGGCACTCGGATGGCAGACAGCCTGCCGCGCTGGGACAGGCCCCCACTGCTTCCCCGGGGCCAGAGGCTGGGAAACGCTGAGGCTTTCGGGAGATCAAAGGCCACGTGGACCCCCCAGCCCACCTGAGCCCCCCACCCCCAGATGACCACCCTCCGGACAGAGCCCCCCACCCCATCGGAGCCTCCCACCCTCAGATGACACCCCCCCATACGGAGCCCCCCACCCCGTCAAAGAAGTTCCTGCCAGTGCCCGCCTCTCCCGCTGCGGGGGGCTGGACCGCGGGGATGGGGGCGCAGGCGCGTGGGGGCCGCCCGCTGTCCCCTCCGCCGGGGACCTGGTTTCTGGGGTCAGGTCCTCAGTCCGCCCACAAGGGGGCGGCAGAACCTCGCTGCTGAGAGCAGAGGCCACACACCACCCCCCCACCCCCCACCCCACGTTGGGGGCGGGGCGGGGAAGGGAAGCCGTGGATGGGGGGCCTCGGACCCCCGCCCCCGCCCCCACGAGTGGGGCTTCCATGCCCGTCACGTGTCAGCGTGGGCGCACGGCGCCTGGCTCCTCCGTGGGTCTTGGTTTGTCTCTTTGTGCCTCAGTTTCCCCATCAGTCAAAAGGGACGTCATAGTCCCTGCCGGGGGGCGGGGGGCCTGCTGGGGGATGGAAGGGGCCTGGGCAGCGAAGAGAGCTTTGCTTCCCCATCTCAGGGTGTCCCGGGGGTCTCTTGGAGTGGGGGGGCAAGGATTCAGATACTAAACCCCCAAGAAAGGGAAGGAACTGCCCCTCACACCCTCGGGGGGGGGAAAGCCAATGTCCTCCCCGCAGCCCCCCAGGCCCTGCACGACCTGCCCCGTCCCCTCCCTGCTCTCCCTCCTCACTCCCTCTGCTCCAGCCACAGGGGCCTCCCCGCTGCTCCTCCAACAGGCCAGGCCCAGCCCTGCCCCAGGGCCTTTGTATGGGCTGTGCCCTCGGCCTGGAATGCTCTCTGCCCAGATCTTCAGGTGGCTGTCTCCCTCCCTCTGTTTAAACGTTACCCCCTCGACTGAGGCCCGGACTTTGCTTTCCTCGTCTCTCTGGCACTTACTTCCTCTGACACAAACTTGACTTGTTTTTATTGTTTCCGTCTGTCCTCCCAACTCGGCACTGTCCGTGCCAGGAAGGCAGGCCGCTGTGGGGGACACGCATCCTGCTGTGTCGCCAGTACTCAGCACCCAGCAGATGCTCAGGAAACCTTTGCCGAGTGGATGGGAGTTTGCCAGGTGGAAAAAGACCGGGAAGGCACGTCGTGTGCATTTACGGAGCACCGACCGTGTGCCAGGCTCCATCCTTGGAGCCGGGGAGGAGGCAGAATCTGCTGTGTCTGGCACAGAGCGGGCGCTCCCTAGATGCCCGTGGAATTTGTGGATCGAAGACCCCGGGGGGGTTCGGAGACCGGTCAGGAAGGTGGGGGGGCTTCCTGGAGGAAGAGAATGCCGCTGTGGGACCTCAAGTGTCCGCACAGATGCGGGACATGGCGATGAGCAGAGGCAACAGCAGGAGCAAAGGCTCGGGGGTGCACAGCGGCCCATCCTGGGGGGGCCAGGAGCCACCAAGGGCACTGCCACCTGAGGGGACCCCAAACCAGGCCCCGGCTGTTTGTCCACCTGCCCGTTCAGCCTACTCCCCGCGTCCCTTTGGCCGGGACACAGAACAGCCCAGCTGAGCACAGAAAGGACCACCCGAGACAGCCAGAAAGAGTCGAAGCATAGCTTGTTTAATTTTTATACATTTTTTCTTTTTTTTTTGCCTTTTATTGAATCTTTTATGAACCCCCCCTTTTTTTTTCCATTTTCTTTTTCTTTTTTTTTTTTTTTGCATAGGGAAACAAACAAAACAAAATAATAACAGCCAGAGTCACCTTCTGTAAATGGTACTGGGGAGGCGCGTCCGCGAGAACCGAAATGACTGCGTAGGCTACAAGGTTACGATTGATCGGAGTAGATGCGCGGGGCCGGGCGGGGCGGGCGGGGGAGAGGCCGGCCCGGGTCTGCCCAGGGGTCCCCGTCGTCCCCCATCCGGTCCCCAGGTCATCGGGGAGGCGGGGGAGGGGGAGGGCAGAGCCCCAGGCCACACCTTCTCCTGACGGGTTCATGAGCGCGTGTGCGCGTGTGTGTGTGTGTGTGTCTGTGTGTGTGTGTGTGTGTGCGTGTGTGTGTGTGTGTGTGTGTGTGTGTGTGTGAGATCCGGTGTGTGTGCTGCAAGCGGAAAGCGAGAAACGGTAAACTATCCTGGTAATATCAGTAAAATACAAAATGGGGGGGGGACCTCAAAAAATATCTCGGAGGGAAAAGAAAATGAACGGCAACACCGCCAAAAAACAAGAAAGAAAGAAAAAAAAGAAAAGAAAAGAAAAGAAAAAAAAGAAAAAAGAAAGAAAGACTGAATTCAGAGGGTGGGTCTCTCTGCCTCTCCCCGGGGCCCCCAGGCTGGGCGTTCTGTCCCTCGGATGCTCTGTTCGTCCGTCCCCCACGTGGGGTCCTGGGGGTAGGAAGGAAGGAGGCTGGGGGCAGGGCCAGGACCCCCAGACTTGAAGGGGCTTTGGTTTCGGGGGGCCTGGCTGGGACCCAAGAAGGGAAGATGGGGTGTTGGTGCATTTTGAGAGTGGGCTTTGGGGGTCCCCAAGTGGAGGGGGCCGGGCAGCTCCCGACCCCTGTCCGGTGGGTCCCCTCCTAGCCCGGAGGTGTGGACGGGGGGCCGTGGGGAGGGTGGCAGCTCGGGGGGGGGGCCCTTCCTTCCTCTCCCGGAGCCCACTCCTGCTGGATCCCGTCTGGTCTTTCCTGAGGCTGGGGTCCCGGGGGGCAGGGAGGGGGACCCCAAAGCGACGCCAGCAGACGTGTGAGGCACTGCTCGGGAAGTCTGTTTTGGTATCTCTGGCAACAAGTCCTGCTGGGGTGGCTTTGGGTCTGTCTCCCCGCCTCGCCCGGGGAGGGGGCCAGCTCGGACCCCGCACCTCTGAGATGCCTCGGGCCGGCTTGGGGGGGGAGGCTGCGGCCGTCCAGGGGGCAGAAACGGGGAAGGAAGGGAGGATGGGAGGATGGGAGGATGGCTTCTCTCTCGACACCCTCCAAAGAGAAGAGTCAAAATCAGTCTGAAAGAGAATCCAGACCCAAAGAAAAAGTAGCCACGGGATCACCTATATCACAAGAAATAATTCCAAAATTATATATATATCTGTATAGTATAGCCCTACACTGCAGGTCCAAGTACCGTCGGAGAAGCCGGGGGGCGGGCAGGAGGGTGGGGGGGTCCTGGGTGCTGTCTCTTCTGGAAGGCCTGGACCGCGGCTGCCTCTGGGGACAGAGAGAAGGTTCTGGAGCAGGGAGAGGATGCTGACGCTGCAGCTGTCCGCCGCCTGGGGAGCCGTGCCAGCCCCCCGAGTCTCCCTTGGGGTTCCTTTCGGGTCTGATTGTCTAGCTCGGGGCTGGGCCAGGGGGCCCCCGGCCGTCAGATGGGGCCGGGCCACCTTGCCCTCCACACTCCCTGTCCGCCCTGGTCCCGGGCGCTCATCCGAGAGGGCCAGGGGCTACCTGCATATACGTGGGGGCCTCTCTGTTATTCCCCAGCGTGGGCTGGGGTCAGGCTGGGGGGCTTGGCGAGGGTGGGGACGGACGATGGGCGGGTGGGTGACGCCAGCTTGGCAGGGGATGGGGTTGGAGGAGATGTCAGTTTCATACACGTGCAACGAACAAGCCAACCAGCCAACGCCGTGTCCCCCAGCCCCACTCTGGGTCCCCAGCCCAAACTGCGGAGCTGGGTCGGGGTTATGGGGTCTCCGCCTTATTTTGCCTGCTGCGAGGGGCCTGGGAATTCCGCCCTGCGGGGGACCCTGGGAAAAAACAACCAACCCCACAAGAACACACTTCCTGGGAAGGACCTGCGATGGGGGGCGGGCCGTGACGGACAAGATGGTCCCCGCAGAGCCCTCGGGGAGGGGGCCCTGGAGGAACCCCTCTGCCACCGGCTGCTCCCCACTTCCCGGGGGCGGGACGGGGAGAAAAACCAGCAATCGGCCACTTGGAAACTGACCCGCGTGGCCCTAGGCCGTGAGGCCGAGGTCTGCGCTGTTCCTCGGTCCCCTGGGGCTCCCTGATGAATCTTTTTGGAAGAAAACATTGGATAACACGTGATGGCGGGTGAAAGCGGGGGCCTGTGTGCAAGGCCCCACCTGCTCTGGGGACGGTTCTCAACTCTGACTTCGGGGGCGAATGAACGGGGACCGGCTGCCTGGTGCGTCCCCCACGGGAGATGCTCGAGGGGCCCAGGTGGGGGCCGGAAGTGGCCAGGGGGGGCGGCCTGAGGTTGGGGAACCCAGCCCTTTGGTCCTCCCCGCCGGACACCCCGCTAACCGTCCGCCACTGTCTCAGCTTTGGTCGAGTCTTAAAGGCAAAGAAAATGAGAATGAAAGAAAAAAAAAAGAAACAAAGATAAAGATAGGAGAGCCCGAAAAAAGAAAATCGAGGAGAAGACAACAGCACGGGCCAGCCACGCGGACCCAGGCCTGTGATGCGGTGTCCCCCGGCCGGCCCCATCCCCGGGGCCCCCCAACGGCTGACCTAGACGTACAGGGACAGACAGACAAATATTGCATATATATATCGGGTTTGGTTTTTGTTTTTCTGTTTCAGACCAGAGACCCTCCATAGTCACAGCTGGAAGACGCAGAACCGGGTGGTGGGGGCAAAGAGGGGGCGGGAAGAAGGGACCGGCCACCCATGGCCGGTCTCCGGGGAGGACGGGGGACCAGTGGGTGCTTTGGCAAGAAGGGGGGGAGAGAGGGGACGTCTTTGGGGGTGGGACAGCAATTTGACCCTGAGCCAGGGGGACGCCAGCCTGCATGAGAGGTGGGATGGGGGTCTGGCTGTGGGCAGGGCGGCCACCCCACAGTGGGAGGACCGCCTGGGGTCATGCGTGCATGCGTGGCGTCTGGGGGGCTGGCCGGTGGCCCGGGGCCAGGGCACACCCCTGAGGTCTGTCCGCTGCTGTGGGCAGGGCATTCAGAAATGACCCCTTGGGAGCCCGGGGGTGGCAGAGCACCAGGGAGCACCCCCAATGCAGCGGGAGCCGGAGCTGGGGGGGCGGGTGGGGGCGGGGTGGACCACGGGCGATTGTTGTTGTGGTTCGCTTTTGTAGCGTGAGATTTTTTTTTTTAAATCCTTTTTTTTCTTTTTTTACAAATAGAAATACATCCCTCTTCCATTTTTACTTTTTATTTCATGTCATTGTTTTGTCTTTTTTTTTTTTTTTTTTGACTACACGAGCAGGGCATGCAGCTACCTGTGTGCGCTGATATTGTTTCAAGGTAATAATACTTATTTTTCGGAAGGCAAGGCACATTATGTGGTAGAAATTTTCGTGCAAATTAGGAAACACGGAATTTTTTTAAGGTTTTTTTTTTTGTATCTTTTTTTTTTTTTAAAGAGGATGGGGGAGTGGTGGAGGGCTAGGGGGGCAGGGCGAGGAGGGGACGGGAGCCAGGGGTCATTTGCCATGCAGGGTCAGCCGCGCGGGCTGACGTCAGGAGCCAGGCACGAGTCCTCACTAAGCACCATGCACCGAGGGAGGGGGACTGCCGGGCGCCCCCTGTCCTCCCCAGCCGACCCGCACCCTAGGGTTCCCGGCCTGCCCTCCCGGAGAGCGGCCCATGCTTTGGTCCCCAGCGGCCCCCCCAGTGGAGGGGCCGCTGGAGACAGACAGACGGACGGACCTGAGGTCCCGGAAGCCCTCGGGGAGGGCGGGGGGGGGCGTGGGGGGGGAGAGGGTCTGGGGTCTTTCTCTTTAAGATCGAGTGGGGTCGTCCAGCCCCTCTGGCTGCTCTGGGAGAAAGTCCGGTTTCTGGGGAGGTGAGAGGAGGCTGGCCAGGCCCCGTCCGGGGGGACCAGAGAGGGAGAGGAGGGCCAGGCCGGGGGCAGATGAGGAGGGGCCCTGCCCAGGGCAATGGCTTTGGCCCAGGCCCGGGGGTGGGGGTCGTGGAGGGGGGAACGTGTTCCCCAGCGCCAGGCGTGGAGGAGGCCAGGTGGGGCTCAGACGGATGGGCCGGGAGGGGTGACCCTAGAACACCGGACACCCCCTCCCAGACCCCCCCAGGGGTGGAAGTGCGGATGGGGCTGGGGAACCGGGGTGGGGGCCCCCGGTGTCCCCGGCTTAGTGTTTTTTGGAGCGGCTCAACGGAAAATGCTTAGCAGATAGCAGGTCCCCTACACGGCCGCAGGGGGCCCCCCCGAGGCGCCGATGACCCCCCCCCCAGCCAGGACCCCACCCCGTCCGGGCTCGTGTGGCCGCCCCCGGCTGTCTTCTCTCCTTTGCCCCATTTCTCGGGGGGAAGGGGGACGAAAGTGCAAACCGTGGTCCCCCTTTGGGCTGGGACGCACCAGGGAGGGTGTGGCTCCAGGATGTAAGGCACTGGCAGGGGAGGCGCGGGGTGCACGCCGGCTCCCGCACACCCCACCCCGCACCCCCGCAGGCAGGACGCTGGGGGGGCGCCCGGCTCTGCCCCTTGGGCCCACAGGGCGGGGGTCCCATCTCTCTAGCTCTGAGGGGGGAGTAGCAATGAGGGATCAGCGACTGGAGGTGGCCGGGCTGCGGGGGAGGGGAGGGTGGCAGATGCCCGCGGCCACTCGCATCCCGGCTGGACCAAGGGGGGGGCGGGTGGTGGGAATCAGGCACTTAAACCACTCGCTCTCACCTCCCACCTGCAGGAACCTAAGTGGGGGGTCCTCCCTCCCAGGGCGCGGCGCATGGAGACCCCAGACGGCGCCCCCTCTCCACGCAGCCCCCCAGCCCCTTCCTCGGAAAGTGCATTTCTTACAGTGTGTGCAACGTGGGTCCCTCCCCTGGGGGTGCGGGCCGGCGGGGGCGGGGTGGGGGGGTGGCCTCCTCTGCCGCGGGGGGCTGGGGGTCAATTGCATAGACTTCTCCTCCCAAACAGGGCAGGCCCGGGGCCCGAACCCCAAGTCCCCAGGCGACCCCCGCGAGCGCGCGCTCCGGGGCGGACGGAGGTCCGAGACCACGGACACTCCTAAGAAGGTACCTGCCACGCGTCCTCGGCCCGTGGCGACACCCGGGGTCTCCCCACAACCCTCTTCTGCTCTTGTGGCTTCCCTGCCCGCCCCGGCCTCCAGGGCGGCCTCTGCTGCCCGCTGCTGGGGTCCTCGCCGTCCCCCGGCGCCCGCCTCCCCGCTTGGCAAACCCCATCGCGGGGGGCCCGGTGACGTCCCGGCGGTGGCGGTGGTGGCGCGGGGACAGGTGGCCTCGCTGGGTGTCCTGCCCTGTTGGGCCTGGCCCGGGCACCAGGCTGCGCTCACCTGGTCCGGGGCGGAGACGGGAGCGGGCGCCCGTGTCCGGAGCAGCAGCAGCGGTGGTGGCGGCGAGAGGAGATGAATAACTTAGGGAGGCGCCCCTGGTCCTCGGAGGGGTGGCCGTGGCGTCCCGAGAGTCTGCAGCGTTGCCGTCTTCACCTCTTGTCTTCTTGGTTGGGTGGGTTTATTTTTATGAGTTTTCTTTTTTCCCCCCGTTGGTCTTTTTTTTTTTTTTCCGCCTTTTTTTCTCTTTTTCCCTCCTGTGTATAAGTGTCTGTGTGTTTTGTCTTTTCGGCCGGGCTGGGAGTCGGGGTCTGTTCTTGCTCACTCTAACTTTCCACCAAAAACGTGGCCCGGGGGCCAGCTGGGCGGCCCCCCGGGATTCCCGGGACCAAGGAGCAGGGCGCGCGAAGAATTCCTATCCCAGATACCAGGACTGGGCGGCCGATGAGGACACGCAGGGAGAGAAAGGGAGAGAGAAAGAGATGGGTCAGGCCCGGCCACTGACCTTGCGCCCACTGCCCAGGACCCCCCACCTCCCTGTGACCTGTGACCCGTCTCCCCTACCCCAGACCTGTCATCCCCTGCTGTGTGTCCCCTGGCAAGTGACATTGCCCCCAGCAGGCTGCTAGATAAAACGCGGGATGCCCAGTGGAATCTGAATCCTGATAAACCTTCTAGTCTAAGTATATCCCCTGAAACTTGTGGGATATACTTATACTCTTTTTAAAAAATTCAAAATTCTTTGTTTATCTGGAATTCACATCTAGCTGAGAGTCCTATAGTTTTGTTTGCTGGATCTGGCAGCCCGACCTCTGAGCCTCGCTGTCCCCAGTGCGCATGGGGAAGGGGACGGGGCCCCTGGCTGCCCCCAGCGCTCAGAGGGAAACGAGTGCATCATTACGGAGCACCACCACATCCAGGCGCTGTGACCAGAGTGGTTTCCTTTTCTTGTTTAAAAAAAATATTTTCCCACGTAATGATCCCCTGAGAAGCCCCATGGAGGAGGGACTATGCGCCCCCCCATTTCACAGTGAAGAAAACCAGGGCTCAGAGAAGTCAAGTCACTTGCCCAAGTCCACCAGCGTGGGAGGGGCAGTGTCCAAAGTGGAACTCAGGCTGGTGTGGCTCCAGGCCTCGCCTTTTCCCTGCCCAGGCCTGAACCCTTGGCCCCGAGGAGCCCATGACTCCCACTTCACAGAAGGGGCACCTAGACTCTGGTGGGAGGCCAGGCCTGCCTGGGACAGCTCCAGCCTTGGTCCCCAGAGGGAAGCCACTGTACAGACCCCTCCCCTGGAAACGCATCCAGTTGCCCGCCTGCCTTGGGCCTGGGGACCCCGCCCCACAGAGGTCGGCGGAGCACGGACCCCCACCCCTACTGAACATCGATCACGCCCCCTCCCGCCACGCTGCCCCGCAGCCAGCCGCTGGGCCATCCCATCGACCTGGCACTGTGCTCCCAGCCCCCCACCTCCAGCCAAGTTCAAGTTCATCTTGGCCATTACCTCATGTCTGGTTTCCGTTGGCAACCAGACAGACTCTGGGCGTGACCCTCCCCGCGGTGGCCGGCCACCCCTCAGCCCTTCCTCCCTTCCTCCTCCCCAGCTCCAGCCCCAGGAACCGGGGGGCACCCTCAGCTCCACACACCCCCCTTGGCTGAGGGGGAGACCAAGGCAGCGCGGTGCCGGGGGTGGGGTCCGGGCTCTGGTAGCTCCTGGCCTGGCTGGAGCCCAGGGCGGCTCTGGGCATGTGGCTTAACCCCTCTGGCCCCCGTTTACTCATCTGCTGAAAGTGTGGGTGCAAGATACTCAGCCGGGGTGGGGGGGACAGGGACACACGACACCCCACCACATGGGGGAGGACGAGGGCGTCAGAGCCCAGCAGCCTCACTCGGGGTCGGGGGGCCAGTGACAGTCGGCTCAGGACTGAGGGGCGGGGATGGAGACGGTAGGTAACCCACCAGGGGGAGACCAACCGCCATTGATCAGGGGAGGGGACACTGATCAGGGGAGGGGATACTGATGGGGAGGGGATATTGATCGGGGATATTGATCAGGGGAGGGGATACTGATGGGGAGGGGATATTGATGGGGGCTATTGATCAGGGGAGGGGATTGATCAAGGGATATTGATCAGGGGAGGGGATATTGACTGGGGAGGGGCACTGACGGGGGAGGCAGGAGATGGAAGGGCCCGTGGGGAGGGAGAGAAGCGGCTGCAGCTGGAGGAGGGGCGGAGGAAGGCAAACCACCAGGAATAAAGGAGGCGGAGGCAGAAGTGCTGACTGGCCAGAAGCAGAGGCCTCCTAGCGAGCGAGTGAGCGAGAGCGAGCTGAGCCCTTTGCGCAGGGGCTCTGGGAGGGGGCAGGGGCTCCGGGCTTCCTCCTCCCCGCTTCCCTCCGTTCAGGGTCTGCGGGTCTTGGGGTGCCTGACCCCACCCGAGGACTGGGACGCCCTCAGTCCGAGACCCATGGTCGGGCCTGTGCAGGGCCAGCGGCGTCCTCCCCCAGAACCGCCCTCCCCGTTCACCCAGATTGGGAGCCTCGCCTCCCCGCAGCCAGGCTCCCTTGGGAGCCTCTTGCCAATCTGCCACCTCCCTTCCCTGCCCCCCAACACCAGCCCCAGAGAATTCTTTGCACTTCCCAGACCAGGCTGTGCCCCCCCCACCCTAAACCCTTCCGTGGCTCCCCGTGGCCCCACAGTTGAGGCCTTCCCCGTTCCAGCTGTTTCTCCACCACTCCCAGCCTTGGTCGGTGCCGAGCCCCCTGCGTGGACACTCTCACGCTTCTCTGCCCGGCCAGCCTACGCCAGGGGGCTCCATGCCCCGCCCCCTCCTCGCCCAGGCAGAGCCCCGGATGCCCCCTCCCCCAGTTCCTCCACTGCCAGCCCTGTCCCACCCTCCCTGGGTCCCTGGCCGGCTGCTGGTGGAGAGGGATGATGAGAAACATAGAGAACCAAAGGTGCTGCCCGTGCCTGCCTCGGTTTTCCTCCCCTTCCAGGAGGTCGGCTCGGGGTCGCCGCCCCCCCCCACCCCGCCTCGCCCCAGGCTGATAATGAAGGAGACGGATGTGGGGGAGGGGAGAGGCCTGGTCCCCTGAGTACTGCTGGGCAGGGGCATCCACGCCAGGATTTAGAGAGGGGGGCCGTGGGAGACCCAAAACCCAAAGCGGGGAGTCCTGGGGCTGCCCCAGCTCGCTGGGTGACCCTGGCAAAATGACCCCCCTCCCCCCATCTGGATCTCGGCCGGAGCTCTGAAAGGCAGAATGCTTAATATTTGGGGCATGAGAGGGGGTGTGGGGCGACCTTGGCCCTTTGGTGCCCTTTCCGGATGAAACTGGTCCCCTAAGCTTCAGGCCCTTCACAGACTCCCTGGGAAGCACCCAAGGCTAGAAGAAGAGACCAAAGTTCAGAGTGGTTTAAAGCAGGACCTGGTCTCTTGACCCCAGCGCCCCCTGCTGAGGCCTGGGCAGGGAGGGAGGGGACGGCCGGGTCCTCCCCACACACTTTGGCCCCCTTGAGCCACCAGCAGCCACCCGGCCAGCATCGGAGGGTCCCCAGGGAGCCAGGCTGCGGCAGGAGGTTCCTTGGGCCTGGTCCGCTTGGCTGATTCTGGGCTCAGCTGAGAACAGGGGACTTCCTCCCTGAACCCACCCGGGACTCTGCTGTAGGGGACCCTCCACGGGGGCGGGAGACTCGGAACGTAGCCCCAAGGGACCCCATAAATGCCCGTGCTCTGAGGTTCCGGTGATTGGGAGAAGCTGGGGAGCCCCCAGCTGGCTTCCCTGCACATCTGGACCTTGGAAGGCACTGCCCTCGCCAGTGAGGGGGCTTGGGGGTCCAGCCATCACCCGCGGGCACTGTCTGCCAATCCAGATGTGGACCTTGACCCAAGGGCCGGTGCTGGGGACACATGGGCAGAGAGGGTGAGGCCACTGAGAGCCACCGAGGCTCTGCCTGCCACTGCTGTGCAGATTCAGGCAACTCGCTCCTCCTCTCTGAGCCTCCTTGTCTGGTCCTAGGCTGCCTCGCTCCCCCACCCTGGCGCCCACTCAGCAGTAGTAACGCCAACTCCGCCTCTGCCAGCCCTTCCCCACCTGGCAGGCTGGAGCCTGGGGGGGGAGGGTGGGAGCCCACACGTTCGCCTAGGCTGCCTCAGTTTCCCCACCTGTCCTAGCATCCCAGAATCCTCTGCCACTCCCTGCCCTCCTCCCTTGTGCTCCCTCTGGCCGGCGGCACGGAAGGGACAAAGGCTGGGGGGCTGGAAGCTGGGGCTGCCTCGCTGGGTGATCCTGGGGAAATCCCCTCGCCTCCTCGGGCCTCAGTGGTCCCGTCTGCACAATGGGCCCGGGCTGGTGACAACCCCGGCCCCACGCAGCTCTGCCGCATCCCCAGGCGTGGGCTCGAGGCCCTGGGAGGGGACGGGAGGCTGGCCTCCTGCCACGCTCAGTGGCCGCCGTGCTGGGGGCGCGGCTGCGGGGTGGCCTCTCCCTGCGCGCCCTCCCGCCGCCCCCCCCCGCCAGCCGGCCTCACGGCCCCTACCTGTGCCTGATACATGCCCGCTGGATCCCTTGGTCCTAATCCCACAAAGGAACGGTTTGCAGGGGACGTGCCGGGCGTAGAGTAGGCTGCGAGGAGGAGAGAGACCGAGAGCCCATTAGCAGAGAGGGCCGCGCGCGGGGGCGCCCAGAGAGGGCGGCCGCTGCCCAGGGTCACACAGCCGGGCCTCCGTGCCCAGCGCCCGGCGCCTCCGAGCTGGCTGCCCTCCCCCGGCCAGTCTCGGCACTCGGGGAGCCCACGGGCGCGGGCCAGGGGTCCCGCCGAGAGATGCAGGATGCAGAAGCCACGTGAATTATTCAGGGCGCTCCCGCCCGGTCCACCGCGCCCAGCCGCGTCCCGGCCCATGAATTATGGAGGCGCTTTACTTATTCATTGCCCTCCCGGAGGGAGCGGAGGGCCGGTTCGGTGATGCGATATTTATAGCGACGTTTACTTATTTATGTCCAAAGCCCGGCGATTACGCTTTGTCCGTGAGTGAATAATTCACGACTGGGGCCGCCGGGGGGCCGGGCCTGGGACAGGCTGGGGGTCCTCGGGAGGGTCCCCGAGGGTTCTCGGCCGGCCGGGCGGGGGTGACGGGGGCGGCTGCGGGGGAAGCAGGCAGGAGCGGCAGCCACGAGCCCGGTGCAGGAGGAGAAGAAGAAATCCGCGTTGAGGCCGCATCTATTAAGCGCCTCCTGTACACCGGGCACCAGGCGTGAGCCCACTGAACCCTCCGTGGCCTCAACGCAGCCCGACACGCTTATGTCCTATTTCACAGATAAGAAAGTAGGGAGGCACGTGACAGTCGGCACCACATCCTGACTCCACTGTGCGCCCAATGTCACGCTCCACATTCCCCCCACTCCGCATCGAGTTCCCCGACTTGCTCCCTGCTGCCCGCGAGTTGGGTGCCATGACGGTCCCATTTTGCGGCTGAGAGTTCTGAGGCTCAGAGAGGGAAGGACATCTGCCTGAGGTCACACAGGATTTCAGCCCAGCGCCCGGCACTGTGTCTGGCGTTCAGATAGCGGGAAGCTGCCCCTGGGCTTGGCAGGCAGTGGACGCCGGGGGAGAAGGGCGGCGGGGGGGGGGGGGGGGTCAGGGGGATGCACATGGGGAGGGGTGATGGGGCCCAAATGGAGCAGCTGGGGGGAGTCTCACTGGGGGGCGAGGGGCAGACTGAGATGGCGAGAGGTCGCGGGCTCTGAGACCCTCTGCCAGGACCCCGCCCCGGCAGCTCGGCCTTCGAGGCAGCGGACACCCTGGGTGCTGGGCACCGGAAGGACGGGGGGCTCGGTGGCCCAGCAGAGTGTGGACGGCTCCCCCAAGCCTGCTCATGGGTCCAGGGAGAGGCTGGGGGCACAGCCCCCGCCGACGGGGTGGACCCCAGGATGGGGAGCCGAGAGCTGCTTCCCAGCTGACTGGGGTGCACGAGGGGCCAGCGAGTGTAACCCGGAGCTACATCAAAACGGTGGAAAGTTCTAGAAGGTGAGGATACCAAGCCAGGGCCTTCCACCAAGCTACCACCTGGACCACATCCAGAGGGTGGAAAGTTCTAGAAGGCCAAGTGGCCTCCTGGGGTCGGGGAGCAGACAGGGACCGTCCCGTCTACAGGCGCGGCCCAGCCCGGGTCACTGGCAGGAACCAGGCCTGTAGAGGCCATTTCTTTCCCAGAATCCAGAACTCTGGAACTTTTATGAGAAATGTTCCGATTTTAAAACAATGACAGATTCTCGTTTTCCATGAACAAAAGGCACCCGGGGTCTGGGGCTGGCCCTCGGGCTGCCAGTTTGAGATCTCCAACTCCCGCCAGCGGCTGGGGTGAGGGGAGGGCTCTGAGGCCCAGGGTGGGCACGGGGGTGCCAGGCCCCTTGGCGAGCAGGGAGCAGACCCCAGACTCGTCCTGCCGCCCCCCGAGGCTGCCTTGGCCCCGCAGGGACCTGACCACGCGGCCCTGGGCCTCTCTGTGGGGACCCACCGAACTCGCCCGGGCGCACGGCCGGCTGGGAGGGGAGGGGCCCTCGGGGACGCCCGCCCGGCCGCGGGCACCGCTTCCCGAGTGCTTACAGGGCGAGGTCGGCGATGCGCATCCTCCCTCGGAGGTGGGTTTGGCGGCGGGGGGGAGCGCCAGCCGCGGCAGCCCGGGGGGCGGGGGGGCCAGCATCTGGGCGGGAAGGCAGTGACTGGACAGTTTGAGCTGACCACTTCCATTTAACTGGGGGGAACAGAGAGACAGGCGGTTAAGGTGGCCGGGGGGCCTGGGGGCCGTGGCCAGGCTGGGGCCACCAGGACAAGGGTGGCGGGGATGGCGGCTGCCCGTGGGCCTCCAGCATCCTGGGCCCACACCGCCTTCCTCTCCGTCTTGAGCCACCATGTACCCCGTCTCCCTCCTTGCACGCGATGCCAACGCCCCTCGACCTCACGGGGCCCGTCCACGCGCCTCGGGCACCACTGGGACATCCTCATCAACCACCTGCTGGCGGTTCCAGAACCCCGACGGCTCTGAGCACTGAGGGAGTGTGGCAAAAGCCGCCCGAGCCGCAGCCCTAGCTCTAACATCTGGAAACTTCCGACGAGGCACCGGGACCCTCGTCGTCCACGAAAACACCACCGTTTGAGGCAAAGGCTGCCCGTTTCGGGGGGTGGGGGGGCCACCTGCGACGCGCCGGGGCCCCCAGACTCACCGGTCCAGGCTGCTGGCTGGCCGGGTCGCAGGCCAGCGAGACGAGATCTTTGAGCGGGTCCTGGGGGTTGAGGTGCGGCGGGTAGCGGATGGCCGTGTGCGGGAAGTAGCTGGAGGCCGTCTGGGGCAGAATGGAGGTCGTGGGGAAGTGCAGGGCCGAGGACGGGTGCGGGCTCCGGGCGATCCCTGCGGGGGCGGGAAGCCGGTCACCGGGGCGGTCGCGCTGGCCGCTCGGCTCCGCGTCACAGGGTTTGGGGGCGCGTCCCACAAACGCCAGCAGGCCCAGCAGCCCGCACGGGCCAGGCCCTGGGGTCACCACATGCCCGCACACGGGACCTCCAGCGCAGCCCCACGGGCCCGGGGCCCCTACCTGGTTGTTTCCTTGTCTATTTGAACAGAGCATAACACGATGGCTGCCCGAGGTTCACACCCCAGTCCCAGGCCACACAGCAAGCAGGCAGCTGGCCCAGGGTTCGAGTCTAGACCTCACTTGGGCCTCAGCTAGCTTTTTGCGTAAAGCGCCGGGTGGTCGCTATTTTTTATAAATTAAGATCTAATTTGCATCCTACAAAATTCGTCTTTTGACGGTGTACGAGTCACTGGTTTTTGGTGCGTTCACAGAGCTGTGCAACCATCACTATGAGCTCTCAAAGAACGTTCTCATCATCTTGGGGAGAAACAGTGTCCCCATCAGCATCACCCCCGCCCCCTGCCCAGCCCCTGGCCCCCACGAGCCGGCTCTCTGTGGATCTGCCTGTTCTGGACGTTTCAGGTCCATCCATCTGCGGCCGTGTCAGGGCCTTGCTCCTTTTCACAGCTGCGTAATACTCCAGTGTGCTGTTTGCTTTTTTATTTTTCTAAACAACTCAGTGACTGAATACACTCGCTCTGTAATTCTAGAACATTCTCCCCTGCCCCCTCCCCACCAAAAGAAGCCCTATGTCCATTTCTGGTCACTCTCTCTCGTTCTCTCTCTTCCACCCCTGACAAGATGGTAAATATTTGGGGCTGTGGGGGCCACGGGGTCTCTGCTGCAGCCACTCACTCCGCCTCGTGGCCTGAGAGCTGCCACAGGCGACATGTCAACGATTGGCATGGGCCGTGTGCCAATAAAACTTTATTGACAAGCACAGGTACCAGGGGCCTGGTTCGCTGGCTCCTGGTCTGACCGGCTGCACTGTCTGGATTTCCGCCTGGTCCCCGTGTGCGTATCTGCCCTTGTGAGGAACTGAGTTGGGACCATCCTCACAATGGTACCAGGCGGTGGTCCAGCTCTCACCGCGATTTCACTCACTCAGTCCCAAGGATGGCCCCGGGAGGGGACACTTATGAGCCCGACTGACAGCCGAGCCAACAGTGGGCCAGGTGCCCTCTGACCAGCTCGGCTCACACCCTGCGGTGGCTGGAGTCTATCTGTCTGCTGGGAACGTGTCTACATGTCCAGGAGCGTCCCCATACCATGTGTGGCCCATGTGTGTCCTCGTGTGTGTCCAGCCACATGTCAGGGGTGTCTACCTCCTTCTGTGACCCCGAGGTCTGTCTGTGGGTCTCTTTAGTGTGACAAAAGGGGAGGAGACTGAGGGACAAGCCCCGGGCCGCCCCTCCTCTTTGTGTAGAAGGGGAAACTGAGGCCCAAAGAGACTGGCCAGGCCCGGGTACTCTGCACCGAGGCACCTCCAGGCTTTCTCGCCCGGCTGTCGCAATAGGACTTGTGGTCACACAGCCAGTGGGACTTCGCTGGCCATAGGGGCCACGCCGCCCCCCGCCCGGGCCCGTGGGGCTCACCGCTGTGCACGGCGATGACGGGCCGGTGGTGCTGGGTGAAGCTGGAGAGGCGAGGCGAGTCCTGGGGAGACGGGCTGTTGAAAGGCGACTTGTCCATCTCTGTCTTCTTCACCGGGGATGAGATGCCTGTAGTGGGGGGAACCGGAGGGTCACGGGCTCCACTCCCAGGACCCCTGGCCCTGCCTCTCCCTCCCCCAGCAGCCCGCGGTGGGGGACCGGGAGCCACTGCACAGAGGGACACACAGACAGCCACTCGGGCTGCCATCGGCTTCTGCTGTTACAAACCTCTGCCCTCGACAGCTCTGAGCATGCGTGATGCTGCGTGTGAGTGCCTGTCGCTGGGATGGGGCAGGTAGTCCCCCAGGGACTGGCACCCGGGACAGCCCCACGCTAGGTGGGAAGGGTGACCTGGAACTCACACTGTCCCCGGCCCGTCGGGAGGAGGGGAATGCTGCCTGGGCCTCTGCCAGCTGGGCCTGGAAGCTGGGCCACCCTGAGAGACCCTGCTGGCCGCCTGGATGTCCCAGACCTGGTGGCCAAACTGGGCCTCGGGAGCTGGGACAGGCGGGAGGCTGGGAGAGAACCACCCCTGGGGCCCGGGCGGGCGGGAGGCCCCGAGCACACAGCCCGCCTCCGAGCATCCTCTGCGTGTTAGCCAACGTGCCCAGGATCCCCCTTGGTGCTGTGACATTGGGGCCGGGTCACTCCCTGGGGGGCTGTTCTGGGTGCTATGGGGGTCGAGCAGCATCCCTGGCCCCACCCACTGGATGCCAGGAGCTGTGACAACCACAGACATCCCCAGACATGGCCCGGTGTCCCCTGGGGGCAGAACAGACCTGAGTGAGGACCCTCTGTGAGTGGGAGTCTGCTCTCACGTCACCCCCACGACGTCCCGCTCAGCAGTTACAGGGGTCCCCTCACTTCACAGACGTGGAGACTGAGCCCTGATGGGGGAAGTCACTTGCCCCAGGCCACAGGACTAAGATGTGGGGCAGCCTGGACTCAATCCCCCTCACCCCCCGCCGGCCCCTGAGTCCAGGAAGAGACGGGGGAAGACCCCCGGGTGACAGAGGAGCGAGATGGGAGCTGCCAGCTTCACCCCGTATTATAATTCCCTTGGCGGGGCTGTGTCCCCTGCGAGAGGGCCACAGAGGCAGCAAGAGCAAAGCACTCTGGGACCTGAGCAGAAGGTGCCTTTTCCTGCCCCACGGGGCGGGGGCAGGGGGGGTGTAGTCAGGGAAGGCCTCCGGAGGAGGTGGCAGGGGAGAAAGGGCGCTTCTGGCCAGGAACAGGACAGGCAGAGACCTGGAGGCTGGTGTGTGGGGCCGAGAGGTGCAGCTGGGGGAGCTCTTGCCTGGGTGGGGCTGCCATGGACCCCACCCCAGGCCTCTGCCCCTCCCAGACACACAGTCCACTGAGTGCTTCCCGTGGCGGCCACCGCAGAGGAACAGGGGGAGGGGCGTAATCAGCTTAAGCCTCTTAATGAGCAACTAATTGGTAGCTGTCTAGACAGGAAGCTGGAGGAAGCCAGGAGCAGGAGGAGGAGGGGGAGGGAGAGGAGGGGGAGGAGGAGGGGATGAGGGAGGAGGGGGAGGAGGAAGGGAGAGGGGGAGGTAGAGGAGGGGGAGGAGGAGGAGGAGGAGGAGGAGGAGGGGGAGGAGGCAGGAGGCAGGGGGAGGAGGAGGAGAAGCATGGAGAAGAGGAGATCCAAGTCCATCTCCCCCACTAGGCTGTGAGCCCTGGAAGGCAGGGACAGGCACACAGTATGGGCTCACCCTGAGGATGAAACCCATAGGAGGGAGTGAGTTTCCCGTCACCTGAGGTAACCAAGTGCAAGCTGGAGGGGGACAGACCCCCTCTGACACTCCCTTCCAGCTCTGTGACTCCCCACCTCACACTGGGGCCCGGGAGGGCTTCCTCCTTGTCCTCCCCGGTTGCGGCCGCTTCATTCTCAGGGCAGGAAGGTCAGACCCAGCCCTGGGGCCTCTCACATTTCCTTCCTGTATAAATCAGTTTTCCCTTCTTGAACCTCTTGAACTGGAAGCTGGGTTCGCTACTCCTGGCCTTTCCTTCTTTCTAATCCAAGGCTTAAGGCTATCATTTTTCCTCTGGGGACTGCAGTGGCCCCACACGGGGCACCTTCCACTCTCAACAGGACACACTTTGGGGGCACATGGGCCCTTCAGCTGCAGCGTTCCCGACAGCTGCTTTCTGTCCCCCATCCATAAATGACCAGGCAAACGTGAACCATCCCCCAAGTTCTGCTGGACAAGTTCTGGAGACAAATCCGACAAAGAACCACAGAGACACTTTGACCAATAAATCAGAGCCTAACAAACAGAGACGGTGCCTGCTCTGGGAGACCACACCTGGGACCTCAAGTGTCACAATCAGATGTGTTACAGACCGACTCAAAGAGATGAGAGTTTTACAAAGACACGACCAACAACAAACTCTCTTTGGGGCCAGCCCAGTGGCACAGCGGTTAAGTGCACACATTCTGCTTCTCAGCGGCCCGGGGTTCCCTGGTTTGGATCCCGGGTGTGGACATGGCACCGCTTGGCAAGCCATGCTGTGGGAGGCGTCCCGCATATAAAGTAGAGGAAGATGGACACGGATGTGAGCTCAGGGCCAGTCTTCCTGAGCAAAAAAGAGGAGGATTGGCGGCAGATGTCAGCTCAGGGCTAATCTTCCTCAAAAAAAACCAAAAGCAAACTTTCTCTTCCTTCCTGGGCACACATGTGCCATTCCGTCACTCTGTGCTCATTCTGTCATTTCCTCCTTCTACTACCCCGAAAGAAGAGTGACTTATCACTCCCATTTTGGAGACAAGGGAACCGAGGCTCAGAGAAGTCAAGTCACCCACCCTAGGTTACATAGCCCACCCAGCGAGTCAATGGCAGAGCTGGGATTCGAACCCAGGTCTCTCCCGGGCCTGACGCTGCCCTCTTGATTGTAACGTTATTCTGCTTTTCAAGAATCCTGTGGGTGGGGCACATTGTATAGACAGATCTTTATAAGGAAGGAGACCCTGTGGTAACAGCGATGAGGAGGGAAGGAAAAACAAACCCTAAGGTTTATGGGGTGCTTAGTATGTGCCAGGCCTGCTTTAGGGACATCGAATGTACTAACTCACTTAGTCCCTGTGACAACCCTACGAGGTGGGTCCCGCAGGTACCAATGTCTCCATCCTACAGATAGGGAAACTGAGGCCCCGAGGGGCGGCGTCCCCGGAAGCCATAAGGGCTGGTGGACCTCACATCCCACATGAGGCCCTAGGGTGAAGTCTCAAAAAGGGAGACGGGACGGACAGATGCTCCTAAACTGTGGGGCACAGACCCCACCAAGAATCCGAGGGACGCGGGGCACCCTTCCGGGGTCACACGGTTCCCCAAAGTCACGGGCACCGGCCCGCTGGGGGGCAGGACCGCGGTGGAGACGGGGATCCGGGGAAGGGACATCTTGGAGAAGGCCCTTGGGGGGCGGTAAGTGGACAAAGGATGCTGATGAGCTGGGTATGGGACGGCCGACCCTACAGAATGGGAACCCCAGAAGACGCCCTGGAGGGGACCCTGTAAGAGCAGCAGGACAAAGTGTCCCCGGCAGAGGCCGCTGTGATGGGACATCTGGAATCCCACGGAGGAAGGTCCCATGGGGACGAGATGCTTGCAAAAAGGAAACTCCCTCGGGGAGGACCCCAGTGAAAAGGGACCCTACATCCCGGGACCCTCTGGCGGGGACCCTATAGAGGACAGTCTACGTCGGACCCCAGGAAGAAGCCCCCTGTCGATCAGAATCGCTACTGAGTCAGGAACCCCACAGAGATGACGCCCTAAAAGGAAGAGGGCAGGAAAGCCGGCCGACGGGTAGTCTCCGCCCTCCCCCGCCCGAGCGGAACCCAAGAGCTCCGGGATCGCGAATCCGGACTTGCCTCTCAGGCGCGCGCAGCCCTCACTACTACAATTCCCAGGAGGCCCCGCGGCTCCGGGCCTGCTTCCCGCTCCCCGGCGCCCGCGCGGTGCCTGCCGGGATACGTAGTCCCCGCCGCGGTTTCCCCCACTCCCACCCCCCGAACGACCGGAAGGCCGGCTCCGCCCCCGCCGCCAGCCCTACCTCCTTCCATATCCTCTGTCCAGTTGCGGCTGCTACTCGTGGGAGAGCTGGGCGAGGTGTAGTAATCGCCGCCGGGGCTCGTGTCCACGTCTTCCTCCATCGAGCCCGATTTGTGCCGCTTGCTCCTAAGGCGCGAGGGAGGAAGAACGCACGCCGGTTACCACGGAGACGCGGAGGGGGGCGGGCGGGCGGGGGCGGGGCGGGCTTTGGGACTTCCGGTCCCGAGGGGGCGGGGCGAGGCGGGTGCTATCGCGAGAGACGTTGTGGGAGAGCCGGTTCTCAGTTAACACCTGTGCCACCCCGCCCGTTGCCTGGATGGGACACGTGGGGCCAGAGGCAGGGAGGGACCCGGCCGAGGTCACAGGGCAAACTAGCAGGGTGGACACCCGAGCCCCAAAGGCCTGGCTGACCACTGTAATCCTGAGAACAACCCGGTGGGATTCTGATCCCATTTTACAGATGAGGAAACTGAGGCCAACGCAGGGTGATCAGGTCACAGCACACGGCCTGTCTCAGCAAGAACCGGGTGTCTGCATCCTCGTGCAGTCTCAAGGGCTGGGCCCGTGGACACCAGGCAGTGGGAACCCTGAGTGGGTGTCAGGGCACTCAGGGCTGGGTTTTGAAGGATGAGTAGGAGTTGCCCAAGTGGACCGTGAAAAAAGGCATTCCAGGGAAAGGAATGAACCAAGTGGGGCCAGATGGAGGTGGGCGAGCGGTCGTGAAATGCCCCAGATGGAGATGTGGACCGGGGCACGTACCCACTGGAGGAAGTGCTGGGTAGCGTTCTTCTCATGCCGGTGCTGGCTGGATTCAGGTCGTAGGCCAGGTGCCCCTGCAGCTCCCCCAGGGAGAAGTTGGGTCCTGTTCCAGTCACCACGGGTGCTGCAGGGGGCGACAGAGAGGAGAATGAGGGAGGGAGCAATTTACCCTGGAGGGGTGGGGAGAGCCGTCTGGGGGCCATTTGTCCAAAGGGGAACCCCTTTTGCAAACCCGGGCTGGTTCCTAATTTGGCCAAAAGTGGGCTTATTCTACGGATCAGAAGCCCGAGACCGTCCAGAGAGGCCAAGGTCACCCTGTGAGGCAGAAGCGTAGCCAGAACCGGAGCCCAGCTCTTCCCGGCTCCCCCAGAAGCCAGGCTCTGCTGATCTGCACAGAGAGGGTGGTGCTCAGGGATAAGGCGGGACAGCGCCCAGAGCTCCCTGGGGTGGGGTTCAAACGGGGGTGTCAGGGGGAGGGCAGAGGGTCCCCAGCAGATCCATAGGGAAGGGAAGGGGACAGGAAGCATGGTGGGTGCGGGGTGGGGCCCTCTGGGGGGGCGGGGGGAGGCCCCAGGAAGGAGGGATGCTGGCGGAAGGTTCTCCAAATCCTCCACTTAGCCTTTGGAGTCTGTTTCCTGGGGAGGAACTTGTCACCCTGACCTTGGGCTCTGGGAGGGGCCTGGAGGCCGCCCTTCCTAGGAAGCCTGGCTCTGTGACAGAGGGTGGCTGCAGGGGACAAGGGGGAGTGTTGGGGGGGGGCGGCTACTTCCTCTTCCCCAAGCCCCTCCCCTCCCCCTGGGACCCTTTCCCTCCCGAAGCCCCTCCCGCCTCCGGTCCCAGCGCAGGGTGGGCGGGGACACTCACTCCGGGACACTTGGATGAGCTCGGTGACACTGAACACGCCGGAGGTGACGAAGCTTTCCTGGAAGTCAGTCGTGTCTGGAACAGGGAGAAAGCGGGGGTCAGCGGGCGGCTGCGGAGCCGGGTCCGTTTCCCTCCTCGTCCCCCCACCACCGGGGCCGCCCAGGCTCCCCGGCAGGTCCCCTCCTCCGTCCCCACGGCAGCAGCACGGCCAGCTGAGCCCCTCCAGCCCGCTGGGGGTGTCCCTCCGCCCCCCCCAACCCCGCCAGAGCCGACCTTCCTGAGCCCCTCCCCCGTCGTCCTCGCTGCAGCCCCAGCCAGTGTCCCCTCCCCCGGGGAGGCCTCTTATCCAGCCTCGCCTTCATCCGGGGCACGCCAGTGGAGGCTGGACCCGGGTTCAAAGCCCGGCTCGGGCGCCCACTCGGCCTGGCATCTTGGGCAAGCCGCTTCCCCTCCCCGAGCCTCGACGCTCTGTAATCTAGAAGGTGGGGACCGTGTCCCCATCGTGTGGGTGGTTGTGACATGCGAAGCTGGATTCCTAGGCGGCCGCTTGCCCCCCTTGCATCATTTATCGCCCCTGCGACGCGACGGTTCCACATCCTTCTCCCTCCAGGCTGGGAGCTCCGGGCCACCGGCAGGGGTGTCTCTGCCCAGCGCCTGGCGGACAGCGGGGGCTCAGAACCACCGGCCGCCTGGAGGGTCCACGGGCCGCAGTCAAAACCCCCAGGTCCCCAGAGCCCCTCCTGCCTAACGTCAAAGGAAGAGGGACCCTCCTCTGCCCACTGGGGTGGTTTGAACCCATTTCACGGATTTGGAAACTGAGGTTGGCTCCAGCAGGGTGGGAGCCCAGGCCAACCTCGGACAGCTCGGAGCAGGCCTGTCCCGGCCGTGGCGCCCTCACAGGCAGGACCCATGTCGTCAAGAAGCTCGCCGGGAACGAGAACCACGGGAGTGGCTGCCCTCCTGGGCCCCGGTGCAGCCTGGGCGGAGGGCACGGAGCTCAGTAAGTGAAAAGCCTGTGCTCCCACATTCATGGCAGCACATTCACCACAGCCCAGGCTGGACCCACCCACTGGCCACTGGTGGACGATGGACACACAAAATGTGGTCCAGCCACACGCTGGAATATTATGCAGCCATGAAGACGAGCAAGGCCCTGACACAGCCGCATGTGGACGGACCTGCACACACGACGCTCAGGGAGAGAAGCAGACACAGAAGGACACACGGCGTGTGACCCCATGGACGGGAAACGTCCAGAACAGGCCGATCCACAGACAGGGAGTGGGCTTGTAGGGGCCAGGGGCTGGGGAGGGGGTGGGGGTGATGCCAATGGGGACGGGGTTTCTTTTTGGGATGATGGAATGTTCTGGAACTAGACACAGGTGACAGTGCATAACACTGCATTGTACATTTTAATATGGGTAAAAGGATGCATCTTCTATCTTGTACGTTTTACCACAATAAAAAACGTGGGAAAGGATTATAAAGTCAAACAGAGGTGAGGCAGGTGGGGTGGGGGAGCTGCGGGGGCGGGGAGGAGGGACCCATTTCACACAAAGGGCTCCCAGAGGGCCTCGCCGAGAGGGTGACATTTCCCCACCACCTCACGGTCGGGCGAGCGAGGCGCACACGCGGTGCCACGCGGGAAGCACCGGGAACCGAGCCTGCGCGGAGGCTGCGGTCAGCAGGATGCTGCTCAGCGCGGGGTTTCACCCCCTCCCCGAGGGCCACGATGTTCCCGGCGGCGAGAACGGCCCGTGCAAAGTCCCCGGGGCTGGAAGGCACCCGGCGCGCTGGAGGCCAACAGGGCGGGAGCACAGGAGCCGGCGACGGGGCACAGAGGAGGCGGGACCGGGGTCGTGGTGGAGGCGGGGGTGGGGGCGGGGAGCAGTTCTCCTTTGGGCCCCCAGGGGGCAGCAGGGACCGCGGGGACCGGCTCCCAGGCCACTGTCCCAGACCCAAGCCACGGCTGGCCGGTCTGGGAACCCCGGCCACCCCGGCCTCCCGGGCGACAAGCTGTGCGCGCCCCGTTTATTGAGCACTTACTGTCCGCCCTGGGGCCACGCTGGGAGGCTGGCGCCCGGACATCCCTGCGGACAGGGCGGTGGCCCCTGGTGTCCAGGGGAAGTGGCCGTGGCCGTTTCCTGCTGCCCCAGCTGGCCAGCTGGTGTCAGCAGCCCCACACCCTCCCTCCGGGGCTTCCTGTTGTGCGGAGCGCGCACTCCAGACCCGGGGACTCCCTGGCGGGTGGACGGCCGGAGGAAGTGACCCCTGCAGTGGCCCGAGCTCCCCCAGGAGCAGGCCAGCCCACCCCCCCCGACCCTGAACATCTGGCCGGGAGGGAGGCGCCTGGGGACAGCGGGAGGCCAGGGAGGCCTCGGGGTCACACAGGGCCAGTGAGAAGCGGCCCGCCCTGTGAACCTTCTGGAACCATCCGGCCACCCCGAGCCGGCCCTCCCCACCCACTGTTCCTTCCATCTCTTCTTTCCTTCCTGGTCCCTGAAATACCCTCCCTGGAGTTTCTCTCCTCCCCTCTGCTTCATCTGTCCCTCTCTCCTTTCTTTCGTGCTGCGAATACTTATTGAGCGCCTCCTGTGTACCAGGTCCTGTTCCAGGCACCAAGGGCACAGGGGTGAGCAAGACGGATGAAAACGTCGGCCCTCGAGGAGGTGACGTTCCATTAGGAGAGAGAAGCAAACGCGGACAGAATCGCTAAGCAACGGGGCGAACACATATGCCATCACCAACTTCCTCCGGGGGAAATAAAACAGAGGGCGCCCATCAATAGCAGCTGAGGCTGCTTGAGCTGGGGGAGCTCGGGGAAGATGGCTCTGAGAGGGGGGACCGTGAGCTGAGACCTGGGTCATCTGGAGAGGGAGGGCAGTTAGCTGTCCAGGCAGAGGGCACAGCCCGTGCAAAGGTCCTGGGGCAGGACTGGGCCTGGCGTGTTGGAGGAACAGCGAGGAGGCCTGTGCGGCTGGAGCAGAGGGAGCGAGGGGGAGAGAGAACTCGGGCTTCTCCCCAGGGGGAGGGGAGCCTGGAGGGCTGTGAGTGGAGGAGGGCAGGCCCGACTCAGGGGCTCCCGGGTGCCGTCTGACCACTTTGGGGAGGACAGACGGGGGGCGAGGACGGGTCTTCAGGCTCCACTCCCAGTTCCCCCACTGTCCCCCCAGAACCTGCCCGTCCTCCTCTGTCCCTCATCCAGGAACCGCGGGCCGTCTGGGGCCTCCCCGTAGGGTGAGCCCCCCGGAGCCCAGACGCGGGCAGCTCAGGCCCGTGGGCTCCACGCCCAGCTCCCCGGGCGCCCCCGAACCTCTCTGAACCTCAGTTTCCCCTTCTGCACAATGGAACCACAGCGGCGCCCGCCCCCCAGCATGGCTGCGAGGGACGAATCCATTACACTCGCGAGGGTCCCGCTCCCACGGGGCGGGGGGATCGGACAACGGTCCCCAAATCGAGGGGCCGGGGCCCCACACTCACCCAGCGTGATGGGCTTGCTGTCCTCCTGGTCGGAGCCCATGCCCGCCCGGGGGCTGCCGCTCTGCTCCGCGTCTGCAAAGAGAGGGAGGACCACATGGTGACACTGCAGGGACCGCCCCCCCCCCCCAGGAGGCTGGGCTGGTGCCGTGGAGCGGGGGTCCCCGAACCCGCAGGCCCCGGGGGTCGGCCGGGCCCCCTCCCTCGGTTGCTGCCCCAGGGCGTCTGGACATTCAACCCGGCACCTGCAGGCGCCAGCGAGGGTCCCCGGGGTGCCCGTACTCCTACGTGCTGGCATGCGGCGAGAACTCAGCCTCAGTTTCCCCGCCCGTGCAGTGAGGGTAACACTGAATCCTGCTTAACCCCTTGAGGTAGGAGCTGTCGCTATGCCCGCTTTACAGATGGGGAAACTGAGGCCCAGAGAGACGAGTCCTTGAGCCCTCGGCCTCTGCCCTCCAAGGCCTGGGGGCCCAGAGAGGGGGCTGAGGGGGATCCCTCGACCGTGGCAGCACCCCCGCCCACCCGCCTCGCTTGGGGGCTCCCTTCCCCGCAGCGCCTCCCCTCCCCCCACTTATCTAAAAATAACCCGGCTCCTTGGCAGACAGCGGCGCTTGGCCGTGTTGGCGCCAGCTCCTTCTGCGGCCCCCGCGCCCCCCACCGGCTGCAACCCCGGTACCCCGCACCCCCGCTGCCCCCTCAGGTCAGAAGCGGCCCGAATCCCCATCAGAGAAACCCTCCCTCCTGCCACACCCCAAAGCCAGGAAGTCCATGCTGTGCGACCTCAGGCAAGTCGCTCAACTGTTCTGAGCCTCCGTTTTCTCCTCTTTCAAGCGGGCGTGAGCATCGCCCAGGCCTGACCAGGTGGCCAGGAGGTGGCGGGAGACAACAGAGGGGCCGTGCTCCGGGCGGGAGGAGGCCTCCAGACCCGCCAAGGTGATGTCCGTCACGTCGCTATTATTACTGTTATTTGAAACCCCTACGACGGCCGCACACGCGGCGCTCTGTGGGTCCCAGCGGACACGACATCGGTGACAGGGCAGGCGCCACAGGGCTGGGACGGTGACGTACCCATTTCACAGACGAGGAAAACCGAGGGGGGGGGCGGCGAAAGTCCGGGGGTTATTTTATTCAGGGTCACGGGGTCGGGCGTGCGGGAGTCACTGGCCTCTGGGGTCCGACGCCCGAGTCCCCATCCCAGCCCTGCAGCCTCCGAGGTCACGTCCCCTCTGGAGCGTCAGTGCCGTCGGGGTTGTTGTGGGAATAGTCACTGAGGCTGCCGTAGTGGCACGGGAGCGGGCCCGTGCCTCAGTTTCCCCACCCACGACAGCACGGATGCGGGCAGCCCTCGCTGGCCGGGCCAGGCGGGGCCAGGCGGTGGCTGAGGGGACCGTGCCTGGCTGGGCCCCGCGCCCTGCGGCCACCCCGGGCTGGGCAGCCGGCGGCCCCTTGGAGGCGGCCAGTCCTGCTTGGCCGGCCCCGCCGTTGGGAAGGGCCCAGCCCGGGCAGCCGGCCGCGCGGGCTCCAGGCCGTGGGCACAGGACCCTCTGGGGCCGGGCGCCCACACTCGTGCCGCCCGCCTGGCACTCGGCGCCTCCCTGGGGGGGGGGGGGGGCGGTGCGTCTTGAGCCCGGCCCGCGGCTCCTGCTTGGGGACCGGGCAGCCGGGCTGTGCGCCTCAGGCCCGTTGCCTGACCTCTCTGTGCCTCTTTGCACGTCTGCGAAATGGGCACAACCACAGCACGTCCCCTGACGCCCTCTGTGCAGGGCAAGGTGGTCCCAATGCCGTGAGGCGCTCCAAACCGCGGCTGGCACGTGGTCCGCACGTCAGCCATCGGAGGGGGCTTTGTTACTATTATTAACGTCATCATTGTTGTTTCCGGGCTGGGTGCTGGTACTGGGCACCACGAAAAGCAACGGGCGGGCTCCAGCGTGGAGCCTTTATCTCGTTGATATTCGCTGTGTGACCTCTGGCCAGCCACACGACCTCTCTGAGCCTCAGTTTCCTGGTCTGTAAAATGGGAAGAGAAGCAAGCCGCTCACCGGGGATGCTCGGTCGCTGAGCCAGCTGACAACCCGGGTCGGAGGGCGGGCGCCAAACCGGCGGGCACACAGGGCAGGGTGGGGACACCGGCGGGGCTGCACTCTTCATGTCGGCTCCTGGGTCTCCTGTCCCAGCCTTGAGTGTCAACCTTGTCTTGAGGTCCAAGGGTTTTTTTTTCCTTGGGTTTTCTACGCCGACCGTCATGTCATTGCCAGTGGGGACGGTTCCGTTTCCCGCTTCCCGATCCACAGCCCTCGGCTCCGTTTCTTCCAGAACAATCCTGAGCCCACGCGGCAGAGGGGCCTTTGCCCCGACGTGAGGCCAGGCCGGGGTCCCCGGGGGCGTGCAGACACTCTCTTCCTTCTCCAGCCCCGGGAGGGCGGGGGGGAGGGGGGCGTGTTTGAACTTAAACCAGCGTGTTCTCGATTCTAAGTAACAGGAACAGAGTGAAAATACGGGAAACAAGAGAACGGAGGAAATTCTATCCGAGGACGCGGGAGTCTGCGCCGTCGCCGATTCTTCTCAATTTCATTTTCAGATTGTGGTTAAACAGACAGAACATCACATTGACCATTTTAGCCATTTTTCTGTGCCCAGCTCAGCGGCAGGAAGCACATTCACACAGTTGTGCCACCGTCCCCTCCATCCGTCTCCAGAACTTTCCATCTCCCCAAACTGCAGCTCTGTCCCCATGAAACACTGACTCCCACCCCTCCCCCAGCCCCTGGCCCCCCATCCGCTTTCTGTCTCTGTGGCTGTGGCTCCTCTGGGGACCTCCTGTGAGTGGACCACACAGTGTGTGTCCCTCTGTGTCTGGCTCATGTCACTGAGCATCACGTCCTCCAGGTCCCTCCACGTGGGAGCAGGTGTCAGGATCTCCTTCCTCTGTCCTTTGCCGTCTTCCTTTCTCGTCTGTGACACCGTGAACTGTTTCCCATCCCCCCTGGTGACCACCTGCCCGTCCATCACTGGCTCCTGGAAACGCCCACCCCCACCCCGGGGCCGTCGGGAGCCACCAGCCACACGTGACTTGACATTTAAATCAGCTGCCCTTGGGGCCGGCCCGGGGGGCGCAGCGGTTAAGTGCACACTTTCCGCTTTGGTGGCCCGGGGTTCCCAGTTCGGATCCTGGGTGCACACACGGCACCGCTTGTCAAGCCATGCTGTGGTAGGCGTCCCAAATATAAAGTAGAGGAAGATGGGCACGATGTTAGCTCAGGGCCAGTCTTCCTCAGCACAAAAAAAAAAAAAAAGAAAAGAAAAAGAAGAGGATTGGCAGCAGTTAGCTCAGGGCTGATCTTCCTCAAAAAAAAAAAAAAAAAAAAAGTCAGCTGCCCTGAACTTAAATTTCCAAGACTTCCAACGCACCGGTCACCTGTCAATACTCCGTGCCCCACGTGGCTGGTGGCGACCACATCGGACGGCGCCAAATGTGCCCCCATCATGGAGAGGTCAATTGGGCTGAGCTGCTCTGGATGTTTCCGTGAGAAATCAGGAAAAACCCAGCACCGACCACTCCCCCTCTCTCCGTCTCCTCAGACCCCCGGCTGCACAGACGGACCCCGGGCCGAGTTCCCGCCACGGTCAGAGCCCCCTGGCACCGTTGGACGAGGCTGGGAAACTGAGGCCCGGCTCAGAGAGCCCGTTTCAGATCCGTCCATTGTCAGTGATTCTAGGGGGTGAGGGGGCTCCAGAATTTTGCTGGTTTTGTATAAACCATAGACACATAAAGCAGCTGTGACAGGAAAGCTCCAGGGGGCGGAGTGACTAGGAAAAAAAAATCGAAAAAGGCTCCTTAGCAGAAGCAATAAGGAAAAGAAAGGGTCTTGTCTATTTTTAAAGGATCCTCAAAGGAGAAAGAACGTGTGACAGAAACCATAAGTGACCTCCAGCTCTAAAGTGTCTCCTATCTGGCCCTTTACTCAAAGTCGGCCGACTTCCAGCTGTGTGTCCTTGGGCAAGTTCCTCGATGTCTCTGAGCCTCCGTTTCTTCATCCATCTTCTTTCTTTTGACCACGCAGCAGGTTGACAGCTGAGCGCCTCCTGGGTGTCAGATGCCCCGGGGGACACAGCAGTGGCCAACAGGGACAAAAATCCCCACCGTCGTGGCCCTGACGTCCTGCGGGAGCGTGGGGCACGGCCGGGTACACAGCAGGCGCTCGATACATGAGTTGCATGAAGGACTTACAGTTTCCCCTTGGGGTTGCATGGACCCTGGGAGGGGGTGGACGTCCTCGGGGTCCGCTGCCAGCACACTTCTCGGGAGGGGGCTAGGGATGTGAATCTTTGAACCTCTGGAACGTCAAGCCCAGGTTCTGTGCCGGGGGCTGTGGACACACTAAGCGCTTTGGAGCAGAGACCTGAATAAAGCGAGGGGGCGGGCCCGGCACCAGCTGGGGAACAGAGCTCCAGGCGGAGGGCACAGCCTGTGCAAAGGTCCTGGGGCAGGCGCGTGGGAGGAGCAGCGAGGAGGCCGTGTAGCTGGAGCAGAGGGAGGAGGGAGGGCAGGGAGGGGACGGGGCAGGTCGGGCAGGGCCTGGGGGGCCGCGGAGAGGACGCGGCTTCCATATATTTAGGGACCCAGACGGAGCCCAGTGTGCGAAACGGCATATTCCAATAATTAACACTTAGTGAGTCATTCCTTTGACTACGTTGGGCTGCCAGTTTCACCTCCGGACTCATTTAATCTCCAAAACTCCTCCACGAGGCACACGTGATTATCGTCCCTGTTTTTCAGATGGGGAAACTGAGGCACAAAGACAGGCAACGGCATATTCAAACTCACAAAGCACCAGCGCACGGCAAGAGGCCTGGAATCAACACCCAGACACCCGGAGGCCTCACATCCGGGTTCCGTGTCTTTGGCAAAGGGAGGCCCCGGGGCCCTTGCAGTCAGTAGTTTGGGGTGATCCCCGTGTTGGGACCAGGAGGACAGAGCCCCCGGCTGGGGTTCCCCCTCCTCCACCCGCAGCCCTCCAGGCTCCCCTCCCTGGGGGAGAAGCCGAGTCCTCCCCGTGGCCCCCCAGGCCCCGCAC